ACGACAAACACGGGTTACTGAAGGCTCATCCTAACCCGGACCTTCACGGGTTGATGTTCTGTAGTAATGCCTGTAGTAACTGACATTGAATTTTTCGCCTGGATCTCAAAGGGTTTTCGTAACGAAATCGTAATGAAAAAGACTGTATAGGTACTTTCAGTGACCACTATCTGAGGAACTCGATAGTAATTTCGTTACAGATCCGACAGGACCCAGAAAGAATTGTGACAGATGCCATCCCTCCTTCCCCCTGTCTGGTTCGACTCAATGTGTTCCTGACATCTCTGGCAGTTCTTATTTATCGTCTGAGGTATACCACTGAGACTAGCTTCAGTTTTGGATTTAAAATTTATCATTTATCAATACATAAAATTTATCATTTATCAATGCATAAAATTTATCATTTATCAATGCATAAAATTTATCATTTATCAAAGACCTACCAGACTGATGCTATCCCCATGAAATCATTTCATCAACGGTGGTAATTTGTACTCCTACTATATAATTTGACATTTACATCATTTCAAGTCCTGTGGCAGGTTTCAATTTGTAAAACGCAAGTGTGACACATTTCCATTTCATTTTCTTGTCATGTTAGACGCACGCAGCCTGGAAACCATTCTCTGGAGACACACTCCCAGGGAATGTTCCAGGAAACAGTATTAGAATCTGTAGGCTTATCATGATGGGAATGTGGGTTAATTGTATCATTTCATTACTTTGGTCACTCATGCATCAAATTTGGAAATGTCTCCCACATGTCTACCATAAAAAATGCAAATCTTCGCCAATGTCTTGTATTTTGTACCCATCAACAGCGTTGGAGGAAAGGAAGGCTTCGCATGGCGCTCTTCACCATTTTCGTAGAAAGGGTTTGGTCGACTGTTTTTCACAATGTAGACAGCAATGTGTGGAGCTGATGGAGTGGGAAAGTTGACCCTTGGAAAGTTATCCCCTTTGTCATACATGTGAAGCGTTATTACTAGTCCTTCTGATTCTGTACTATGATCTATCTGATAATAAATCTGATGATAGAAAGAACATATATTTATTATGTTATGTGGTTAAAGCACTGTTTCTCAGCAACTCTTTCTCTTTGGTGTCATTGAGTAGTGTTCATCAGAATAGGTCAGAATAGGTTTTGATTCCTGACATTGAAGGATGACACTGGTACTGGTTTATCATGAGAACGGTAAAACGCCTCTCGTTATCCCGATGTGTGAATGTCTGCAGAGAAACGTTCCTTCAAAGAAAACTAAACTGATTCTTGCGCAAATGACGTAGATGGACCTCAGTTTGTGTCCTTTGTATTTCAGTAAAATTAATTACATCAACAAGAAGAATCAGGTAGCCCGGCTCGTTGACTTGGTTGATCACATGACTGTAGTGTTATCATGGGTGGTATTGTGAACCAAATCTGAGAGACCGATTCCTAATTTCAAGTACAAAGATAACATCTAATAAAAAAGTGTACCATATTCTGCAGCCCTGAAATGGCGGATTATTGATTTATGTATTTATAGTGAGTGAGTTTAAATTTAACGTCGCAACGGCAATATTTCAGCCATATCTCATGTATTTATACGCTAATGTTTTCAAACAAACTGGAAGCAAAAATTATTGTTACAGTGATGACTCCAGTTGCTCGAGAAAAGGGTGGTTGGTTGGGTAGCACCTCGTTTCATTACAGAAGCAAAGGAAGATTCCAATGCCACTAAAAAGGGCACTAAGGTGGAGTGTAACACAAAGAGCTTGATATCATAACGTCGATATATGCACGGAAACCCTCGGAGCCAATCCTTCCAACCCTGTTGCTGTTATCGACTACATGGGCTCATGCAGATCAGGTCGTGATTTGTCTTCCGTTTTTAAAGCAGTGACCAGTTTAATAGATCATAAAACAATGTATAGGAAATGAGGCTACGGTAAAGTAATGGCTACATTCTGTCATTTTCACTTTCTACTTGTTTTTGAAATACCCAAGAGACGAAAATACATAATCAACAAAGTGTGTCACATCCCTCGGCAACAGAATTTTCATGTTTTTCTCTTCTTTGTAAAGTAGGTGTCTTACTTGCTGTGGGGTTGTCTGAAAACTGAATCGAAAATTCTGTTAAACTGGCCTCTCGTGCCTCTCTGTAGATAGGATTAGTCTGGAGATCAGTGTATAATGTAAATATTATGTTACTGTCTACAGAGGACACGGTGAGAGATGTAGATTAGATGATACTCCACTGAATACTTAACATGGAAGAACTTCGGAATTGATTTATAGGATAAGTAAACAAGGCGCCTATAATAACACGCATGTTGGCATAATGTCCACTCTTCGAATGATCTTATAGGCATGCGAGACTCTTGTAAGTTCACTGATGGATTAAATGACAATGACGCCTGTTTACTGATAAATATTTTATGGATTAAATATAATAATGCACTTTGTTGGATATGACAATTGCTCCCTTTTTGCACGCTGACTACCATAACCCGGTTAGCTATTGACATGAATACAATTCATATACACAGACGGATGTAAATCTGATTAATCACTGTTTGTTGTCCGGTGGAGGCAATGCGTTTATATGAATTTAATCGTCAAAGATTAAATTGGCACCCATTCCAATCTAAAGCAGCTTTGTCATCATCCACACACACACGCACACGCACACGCACACGCACACGCACACGCACACATCAAAACCAAACAAACAACGCAAATGCATTCAACAGTGACGTGATGGTTTGTCCCGTCATTGATGTGGACGTTACAGTTCAAACGTTAAAGAGCATCTGCGATCAGTGTCGAATGCTCCCAGACTAGGAATCACGAAATGTTGATCATGATAGCTTCTCTTGGAAACAGTGGGGATACGAATCCCAGCAGGGGAGCGGTTGTCAACTGGGCTTGTATGCCAGTACCAACTGTGGTAGTGCGCTCCCCCAAGCGGTGATACAGAGGACCTGAATGTTGGTTTGGGAGTCTGCCGTGGTAAGTTTTACTGTGTTGGGAGTGATTATGGTGCTGGAATAACCGTGCATTCTTGATACTGCATGGATACGGCCAACCCAAATTCCCCTATCTCCAGGCGATTGATTGTGTGTTCAACACTGTATTCAGTCGTGGCATGTGTGTTGAGCCGTCGCCAAGACGCAACGAAAACGTAAACGAAACCCTGCACTGTAGCAACGCGATATATTTAGATCACCAAATTACATTTAATTTATCTAAGTGTTTCTGGCATATATCAATGATTTTCTTTATATTGCGTTTCCTTTTCCGTGTAGTGTGTTTGTTACCAAGACGGAATACACAGACATCGGAGGACGCTGTATAAAAACGTCTAACAGAGATTTTCAAGACACAATTTGTATCACCACTACCACCAATAAATAGCTTCCTAACCTTTACAAAAACAACTTCCAGACTTTTTACAATCTGATAGAATTCAAGCAAGGTTCTGCTCTTATTACAAGTGTGAACGTCTAGGGCGCCACAATTTGCTGTTCAGACTTGACTTTCGTGCTGGCCAGAAGACTATAGTTGGTCGAATCCCTGCTCGCCCTGACTATGTTTCTAATAGTATGTTTTTCAACACTTTACCAGTGCTCGTGGGATTCACCAAATGGTGAACATGTGTGAATTACATCACATGGGACCCTCCTGCCACATTATGCCAATATGTGAGATACAGCTGGAAAGGCTCAAACCGGAACACCGGTGACTGATAGCTTTAGGACCTAACTCTCTCCAGCTTAATGCTATCCCTTAGACAAATGGACGTCACGTTTCCAGGAATATACAGTGACAGCGCGGTAAACCGGACGAACCTGTGTCCATGGTCCACTGGATAGAGCGTCCCCCTGGAGACAGGAAGATCAATGGTTCGATCCCCGTCTGTGTGACACCAAAAAGACGTTAAAAGATGGTACTTGTTGTTTCCCCGACTGATGCTAACTGGAATGAAACCGCCATCATCCGCCCCGGAGCCACACACACTCATACATGCGCACGCACACGCACGAACATACGCACACAAACACGTGTCAGATATAGTAGTTTTGAATACGACGTTTAAACGCATTACGCCTCAGGTTGCCACATCAACCGACGGCATTTATTGCTTGCTGTTCATACTCGAGTGTCTTTCCAGATTCGATTATTCATTTCGCGTTGATGATTTCTTGTAACAGTGAAGACTGGGGCTATTACTCACGCGCCTTGATTAATGATAATGAATAAGTTATATATATCTGTGTTAACCTCGTTTCAGACAACAGGATGAAACAGGTAACATTTCTTCCACTGGGATTTCACTCTCTTCAGTTTATCACAGATCTATTACGGTCACCGAACGCAGTAGGTTTCTCATCACACTCTGTATATTAACTTCCAGGCCAAAGTTAGATCAGTGTGTTGCAAGGCAACATGGTATATCAAATGTCTACACCATCACTTGCACCCGACTCCATATGTCCAAAAATGGAATGTCAGTGCATAAAAATACAATATCATGGGCTGAAGTAAACATTGTGCCACAATACGTCGTGTTTTAGTCATAATACTCAAGTCTTATAAATAAATAATAATACAAATTGTAGAATTGTACGATGAGGAGGTCGCGATAGAACAATTTTTTTGTAAATGTGTTTGTTATAAGCCTCCGATGTGAAGGCCGTGTATAAATCCATACGTATCAAATACATCTGCCGTTGTAAAACATCTCAATGCTGAGAGCAATGTAGAACGTTTACAGCGAGTTCTGTACCACTTCGATGACATCATCGTGCTCATATAAACCATGATTCAGTAATCTAGGGTTCGATCATCGGATTCACGTCCGAGCAATAGATGTCTGCAGAGAGGTGTGCGGTGCCATGGACGCTTTTGACATCAGTTCTCTCATCCATATAAGAAATCTTTAATAACTTATTCGTATGTTTTAGACAAAACATAAATAAGACTGCACGAGGACACACAAGGAATGTGTAAAACCATCTTTCAAATCAAAAACTTTATACCATGGGGTATCGTATTAAAATATACAATATATAACAAATGTACAAAACATTACATACACAATGTAGCATTGCATTATCATCAAGTTGATAACAGTACAGGGAAATATAAAAGTCCGAAATACTAGTGTTAACAGTATCCTGCCATTTGAAGACAAAGCCTGAAAAGTGTTCTGAAAGGGCACTGAATGACTGGCCTCATAAAATCAGTTCATGTCGATCAAAATAAATTGATAGAAATGTTTTACTATGATTTACAATTGTTAAAAGAATTTTTTTCTGATTTTTTTATATCGATATATATTGCGTTATCAAATGAACAGTTAAATAATATGTCCAAATATTTAAGCTGAAATATCAATAGCCGTTTCGAATGGGAAAAGATACACAAAAGACCAACGGTATAACCAGAGAATACATGCACGTCTTGATCTGTATTACGTCGTGTAATAACCTTGAGTGTTTCAAGGTTTAGCTGCTAAGTTGTGTAATAACCTTGAGTGTGTCAAGGTTTAGCTGCTTCCTGCACCAAAATGTTACCTTACGATATCTGGTAGCACTGTTAAACTGAATGCACATGTATGTGTCCTTGAGCATAGGAAATAGTTTTCACTTCCCTTTCATAACACCCTGGCTATTCTTCGTTTACCTACATTGTGATGTCTTCGTGAAATCCAGATGAAGGCCTTTCAAGCAGCGATCTGACTTAAGTTAACATAATCATAATTATTACGTTCAGGTTTGTTTTGAACAAAGGCTGATTGGTAAGTTCAAGCTTCAACCAGAAGGTTAATGAAATACTTCGTTGAATCTTGTCTGTTTTCCAAAGGTCACAGACTCCTGTACTGTCACTGAGCTATCAGAGCAAAAAACAACCTCAACAGACTCACGATTAGTGGATATGTCGCTATGGAAACAAATAAAGTGAACACCAAATGAATTCTATGTTCCATCTGCGAAGCGAACATAACTTATCAGTGTTCCATCATAGTCCATCCGTCTAGGTTAAGGTGTCCTTGGTTTCTTCAAGGACCTGTCTTAAGGAGTCGGTTGCACAGTTTACTAGGTTGTGATGATGAAAGAAAGGCACGTATGTATATGTATCCAGAATCAATATTATGATATTATTGGCACAATTCCAAGTTTCAAAAGACTACATCAGTCGCTTTAAAGAGATAAATCTCGTGATGTTATAAGAATTAGTTCCAGATCATATCAACCTGTTGTAATATTAACCCAAAATAAATGGGGTGGGGGTCGGGATAAGGAGGTAGCTATTGAAATTGTCAGATAAAAATACCTTTGTGGACTCCATTTTCAAGAGTTGGGGTTGATTAAGAGTATCCATCAGGGGGTGTTTGAATAACATACATAAGGCACGGTACATTTGGTCGTGTTACAGTTGAACGTGATTTGTCATCAGGCTAATGTTGAGGTTTGTAAGGCACATGCAGGGTGGACCTGAGAAGTAGGTATCACATAATACATCAATGGAGACAACAGAAATACAGTAGTGGCATTTACTATTAGGCATTAGCGGATTGAGTATCCAGTATGCGTACAATAACGCATGCACGCTATACTCAGTTGTCAGTTGATGTGGGGCAAATGTAACCTTGATTTGACAAATTGTCGGGATAAAGTTTACACACATTAGTATCTTCGTTGTATGATTTCAAAGTGGAATATCGGGTCAGTGATATTATCAAAACTACTGGTCATGACATATGAAACGTGGTAACCTTTGTACATATCTGAAGAGAGAGGAAGAACTGCATACATTCCCCAGTGCCGTTGTACAAAGCTATCTTAGCGCTAAGGTGACCGTAACTCCCATACTGGCAAGCCTTGCTCCATTGCTGTACGGAATGCTAAGACCATGTATGTATAGTAATTCTATCCTTTAAAAAGGCAAGTCTAGATAAGCGGGTAGTTCTAAGGACGCCAGTCTGTTATTTCTTTAGAAATTATCATTTAAACTACTCATTATTACCTAATAGACTTGTGCAAGTCTACTCAATACCTTAACATGGACTTAAGGTAGTATTAGCGCTAAGGTTGTTTCGTACAACAGCACCCTGAACAGTATTCTTGGTAGAATGTTTGAAGAAAACATAGCACCACAGAACATATTGATAACATACTGTCATACATCGATAATCCAGAAAAATGTGTTCCAACTGCAGTAATTACCACAGAGAAGAGGTTAAATCTTTCCAATAGTTTCTGTGATGGAGAATTTGAGTGACACTACACAACCAAGCATATACTGACGTCTAAATAAACACTACAGCGAATGCCCCTTTTGAGAGACTGTGGATCATAACAGAGAAGGGTTCAGGTGCAAGTGCAAGAGGGTGAATTCAGGGCGTGTCAACCTCATCTCAACACTGTACAAGCAACTTTCCAATTTGCAGACACTGGACATCTCCACACATCTGCGTCTGAAATTATTCTACAGTTTAGTAGTATACACAAGTTTACGACATTTTAGCATAGACAAAATGCATTCTCTGACACTGATGCAGTTTGTATGTAACGGCTGTTCGTCACGGCCGTCACGGCCTCTACACAGGTGGACTCATGCTGTTGCAGCACCAGAGGATGTAAGGCTGAACTCTGAACCTGCACTGTCAGCCGTAATCATGCATCCTTATCACATAACGGTCCCACCGGGTGGTGTGTATCACAGTAATATCAGACAGCACAATAATCCTGGGGAACAGGTCATTATTGTGTGTGAATTAGGCACTAAGTACATGGAGCACTTGTCTGGAGGTCATCGTCACTCACACTGGATTTAAGCCTCCGTTTCCCTTGAAGCCATTCTCTTCATCCGAATCGTCGGTCTGAAAATTTGACAGTGAACATTATCCTTGAATTGAACAAAATGACTTTCCGACAAGCAATTTCCTGGTAAGAGGATGGCTAAAATATGAAAAGGAAAGTCACAATATGTAGCTCGACGTATTATGTGACGTCGTACTCGGCACGTTGACGTTGACGTCTATGCAGGCAACCATTATCTGCGTTCTTAACTATAATATCGAGGACTTCGACGTTCATTAACTTAATCATTACTATTCATTACTGGCAATAGCTTAAATCAATAATCACTGAATAGAAGCCTTAACCATGTACATCTATATGTAAATAAAACCACTCTATTAAACTCTTAGTAATGAAATTATACGTAATGATTGACGATTTCGGAAAGAATTCAAGAAACTGGTTTTATCATCCATTTTATCACCAGATCTTATCACCCTGAGAAATACGTTTCCATGATGTCTCTTGTATTTCATGAGGGGACTGCGTTGCTTACAGCTGATGCCAGTTTGACACCAGTCTGATATTACACAGAGGTTGAAGTAACGCTCACCATCAGACACATGGGAAACGCACAATAAAATTGTCACCACTTTACTGAGAACCGTTCCTGCTTCTAGTGTAAATAATACAATTACTTCCAACACAGAACATCCCCACATTTGCTGTACTGGTTTAAAATTCAATACAGGGTAGCGAAATAATAACGCTTCCCCTTCTGACTTTCATTTGCTACAATAATTAGTTTAAATATTCCTCCAACTTTCTATTCCCAGTTGAAAAGTCAAAATGAATAAAACGCAAAATGTCACTATGTGAAATTGTAAATCGATAAAGACGATTCCCCCTTCAGCAAGATATTTTATGTTTGGTCCACAAAGGTTAGTTGTAAGAATACATTTGCCCTGTAAAACATACCTGATGACAGAGATAGGTCGTCTTTCTGGTTGCCTGCAAACGAAAATTGGTAAAAAACACTATATATTTGTTATACATTTTATTTGACCCTACCTCGAGCAATATTTTAACAAAGCATTTTAGGAATAAAAAAACCCCTGCATCCAGCAATTAGCAATGCACTGAAGCATACTAACAATTATAAACACTATTTTAATTACGAAATAAAAACGGCAATTTCTAAGGGATACGCCTGTCTCTCCAAGACAAAAATGGAAGAAATCTGAATGTGTACATAAATGCCCACTGTTAGTAATCCCGGGAGTTCTCTAACGTCACTTACTCATGTTTTCTACTTCTTGTCGGTAAATCCATTGGTCTCACTGCCAGATGGATCTCGCCCATAGAACGCTCGAAGTCGCCCATTGTTTCAATCTCCGTCTCAAAATCGACGTCTATGTAATTATCAGTGTCGTCAGCTACAGACGCACATTCTTCTTCCTCTGCTTTTGAAGCGAGAATCAGATCAGACCGGCTCATGGACTTTAATAAGTCTGTTCGGCTTCGAGATTTGACCAAAAGGTCACCCCTATTTAGGGTTCGCATCCCAGGGTCTCCATTTTCTCCTTCTCCGTATTTTTCACTCATGCGGGATCGTATTGAGTTGTCAGAAGCAGTCCGTTTAATTGCAAGGTTATTTGTAGATCTTAGAGATTTCGCACCATCTGAAAACAACAGTTTATGATGAACTACAGTTTACTTTCACTTTACTCCTGCTACTACTACTACTACTACTACTACTACTACTACTACTACTACTAGGGGCACAGACCCATGAATATTCGGGTTAGAATTGGTCTTCAACAACCCATTATTGTCGTGAGAGGCGACTAACGGGGTCGGGTGGTCAGGCTCGCTGACTTGGTTGATACGTCATCGTATCCCAGTCGTGTAGATCGATGCTCATGATGTTGATCACTGGACTTCTATTCCGCGAATATTAACAGACCAGCGCCATACAGCTGCAATATCGCAGAGTGCAGCGTTAAACAAACAAACAAACACTGGGGGTACGGGTGGCAAAGGCATCCCTTTGGTACGATTGAAACCTATGATCGTCGCCCCACCACATTTCTTAGTTCGTTAGCATTATATACGCGTTCGTGGGATTCACCGAACAGGAAAGCATGGCACTACAATCCGTCTCGTGTGAATTATAGGATTACTTCTGTCAGTAACAGTGGGTCTTTTTTATTATTTCTCACTTTGACACAGCGACCGGTTTTCTGACCGACTGAAAATGACGGATTGTCTTGATTAAGAAGAACTCTTCTACGAGGACCAATTATTGCGACTGGCACTTCAGGACTTACCAAATCCACCACTATCTAACACGCGGGGTGACTTCCCGTTGGCATCCTGAGACTCTGGTGTCGCTTTTCGCCTACAGCAGCAGCAGCAGTAACGACACAGCTGACAGAATCTCCACACGAGGGTGAAGGGGGGAGGAACGGGGGGTTTTCTGTGATAATCGAAGGTTAGACGCACGCTCTGCCACGCCCATATCTCGTCAGTTAACTCATGGATGGTCTGGAAAGTGTAACTGTCGACAAAAGAGTGAGAAATTTAACGCCGCTTTGAAGATTTTGAAATCGTTTTAAAGTTATGTTAACAATAGAGGCCATAGCCATCGGATCCTGGCACAGCTAAGGGTATACACCTGGGCGAAAACAGAGTCTTTCCATAAAAATATAGAATTACTCAATACAATAGATAACGACTGTGATGTGAAGACTTTGAAACAAACAAATTCCTTCATATCAAGTATTTGAACATGTTTAAATGGACATTGACAACAATAATATTCTAATCTTGGTCCATCAAAAAAAGAACAGATTTGTTATCTGCTATGTTTCAAAATACCTCTAGATGTCTTGGGAAGCATGATACTTAGTTCTTCCGCCCGTGACCAAAATTAGTTCTATTGGTACTACGTATGAAACCCTTCTGCCATATTGCTGAAAGCCCATAACTGACAAAATCACTCAGTGATCGTATAAGTAAGTTAAACTAATGGTGTAAGTGGCCCACCAGCCGTATCACACTCCACCATCTGTATTACACTCCATCAACTGTATCACACACACCTTCTGATGTATCACGCTCCATCAGCTGTATTACACTCTATCAACTGTATTACACACCTTCTGATGTATCGCACTCCATCAGCTGTATTACACACCTTCAGTTGTATGCACACACCTTCTGATGTATCACTCTCCATCAGCTGTATGACACTCCAACATCTGTTTTACACTCTATCAACTGTTTTACACACACCTTCAGTTGTATGCACACACCATCTGATGTATCACACCCCAACATCTGTATTACACCCCAACATCTGTATTATACTCCATCAGCTGTATCACACACCTTTAGTTGTATGCACACACCTTCTAATGTATCACACTCCATCAGCTGTATCACACCCCAACATCTGTATTATACTCCATCAGCTGTATCACACACCTTCAGTTGTATGCACACACCTTCTGATGTATCACACTCCATCAGCTGTATAACACTCCACCATCTGTATTATACTCCATCAGCTGTATCACACACCTTCAGTTGTATGCACACACCTTCTGATGTATCACACTCCATCAGCTGTATCACGCTCCACCATCTGTATTATACTCCATCAGCTGTATCACACACCTTCTGATGTATCACTCTCCATCAGCTGTATCACACACCTTCAGGTGTATCGCACACCTTCTGATGTATCACATACCCAGTTGCACATATATCAGTCACACGCATGGCCCCTTGTATACGCCACCTTGTGTGTGGTGTGAAATAACAACCTATAATTACTCACTTGAATCTGGCGATGATGATGTTGAGCAGGAGGACGTTGGTGATGAGGATGTACATTGACATAAGGAGGGGCACGGCGTATTTGGAGATGGGCTTGGGACACCGCGGGTTGGTGCTGTTGCTATAGGGCCAGACCATGTCGCAGTCTGGGGGTGTTGCTGAAAATCAAATATTTAAGGTCAGATAGTTTAGTCTTAAGAGATATCAGTGTGTACAGAGTGCAGAATATGAAACATTCCCCATTGCATAGCTCAGAGAACAACATAAACCAAACATTTGTGTAACACACGCAAACTAAATTAGTATTAGTTATATACTCGGTTGCTTCGTTCGCATTGGGAAAACATATTTCTTGATTTATGCTACATGTGACGTCCTTCGCGCTGCGCCTAAATAGGTAAAAATTAGAAGTCACCGAACAATGTTTGAAATAGAAGTGTTACAGATGTTAACTCGGGGGGTTAAAATATATGAACTAGACTGTACCTAAGCTAGTAGAAAACTAACAATACCCAATAGGATGGATGTGGTTACACTTCATGATTCAAAGGGTTTGCACGAATACTGGTTCTAACTGGTTTCAACAGGAACTGACAAGTGGGGTGTTAACGTAAGGTTAGGTTCAGCAGATACAAGTTTTAGTTAATGGGGGGATATTGGGTGTTCAAATTTGCTAGCACAGAAATAGGGAAACAAGTAGAGCTTGCTGGCCAAAATGTGTCCACTAATTCTAACTGTTGCTGAAATTGTGCATGTCACCATACACCACCACCCCTCACTCTGGATATAATATATATCTGATAGTATACTGTATACTCTAACTCGTTGTTGTCCAAGAGAAGAACATGTACAGGGTCGTAGGGAATGGCGCACACAGTATTACAGACAACAATTACATACCTTCAATTTCATCCAAGAAAAACTCTCCAAAGATTGAAAAGAATGCCTTCCTGGGTATGAAGAGTACAAATCTGAGAGACCAGGGTGTGTTTGGGTACATGATGGCCTCCGATGCCACAGCATAGGACAAGATGGAGACCATGAGGATGACCAGGAAGGGCACGAGGTCCATCATCTGAAACAGGTCAGAGGTATCTGCTAAAACCATATCAACTGGACGGGTAGTTGTCATAAGCATTACGTCAGAGTGCTTTAACAATGTCTTCATGTTCTCCGCAGATTTGTTTAGTGGACACAATGGATATTGTGATATCACCTCACCTCACCTTACCATATTTATAATAACTGTGCGGTCAGTTTCCTTATCACGACGTACATGTTTAATCAGTTGTGTTATCATTTTAGATGATGTCGCGTCGGCTGGAGCTCACATGGACGTGTGGCGATAGACAAAGGGTTCGCATCATAATCTCTGTTTTCAAACTGTGGTAGCCTACACGATAAACCTCGTTCCCCTCGTGGTAGGCCTTAACATCTATAATGAAACTGTTTCTGAACAAGACTTGATTTGTAAATATTTTGATTAGCGCACGCTTTTTGAGTTGATCTGATCTTTATGTAATTTGTACAGACAAAATATAAATATGACTATGCGTAGGTGGTTTTCGACAATTTCAAGATAGCCCAGTACATAATGGGTACCGACTAGGACGTGTAACAATAATCATCATGGTTTCTGTAATTAATAATGACTCTGATTATTTTTGTTTTGTTTGTTGTTGTTGTTTTTGCTATTATTGTTGGTGGTGGTGGCGGTGACGGTGACGGTGACGGTGAATGTGAAGGTGTAGGTACTGGTTTTGATGATGCCAGTTGATAATATTTTCATTCCATCATTTTCTTACCATTTTCCATATCATGACCAGCATCGGTCCTATCCTCTTGGTGATGGTGAATATATGCAGGAGTCGCCAGAAGTAACATATAAAGTCTATGCTCAGAATGAGACGCCCAGCTTCAAAAGGTTTTTCTATTGGTATAAGGCGAAGGCAAAACCCCAGTACAAAGCCGAACAATGAGACAGTGTCGAGGATGTTCCACTTGTCTGAGTAGAAGTTCTTGAGGTAGTCAATGAATCGTGGGTTGTCGATGTTCATGGCGGCGATACTGGTAACGAACTGGAAAGGTATATTATACATTATTAAACTCAACATGCTTTATCAATATATTTGACGAATCTGGTTACATTTCCTTAATCTAATATGCCGTTTGACCACAATCACCAACTGTCTGGTATGTTCGGTTCAGTTGTAAAAGAAAGAGTTGGTGAACACCTGGCGCCATCTGTCACTGATCCATTCATATAATTCTCACCACCATTTTGCCTTTTACACCCAGGGGGATCTGTTAAGGTGGATAATATAGATTGGTTCTGAGTTTCACCTTTCGTATTTTTATTAGACCAGCGGTGAAATATAATTCTTTGATATATCCTAATTTGTCTCCCTCTATTTTAATGAGGATAAAAGTATTACATTCGTCTCATGTCAGTGTTATAAGACGTAAATGAAAGAACAAAACAACCGATTTCACTCTTGGCAAAATTAGATTTTGCATAGCAGATAAACCATAGAATTGATTAATATCTGAGATTACCAACCTGATAGCCTTTCTCTACGAAGAAGGAGAAAATCCAGACTAATAACACTCCCTCCAAGACCGAGACATGCTCCTCGAGATGCGTCATAATGATGATAGCAAACAGAAGGAGAAACGCTGCATAGAATACCTGAAAGTATTAGGAAATAAGTCATTTGATCAAACAAGGTACGTCACAGATACCTGCTTGTTATTTCATGTTAACTTCTTTCACTTCTTGACGCAATGAACACGAGTGAAAATATCCACGATGTGTTGACCTTATGGGGAAGCCATATTCTATTGAACCATTCATATAATCTCAAATATATTTAAACGCCGTGTGTTTTGTTGTTTAACGCCGCACAGCTATATGGCGACTGTCTGTAAGTAACTAAGTCTGGTCCAGACGATCCAGTGATCCACATCAAGAATGACAAAACGGAATGACAAAACATCTAAAGGACTTACTTAACGGAATGACAGGCCTAAAACATCTAACGTCATAAAGGTCTTACTTAATGGAATGACATGACTTAAACATCTAACGTCATAAAGGTCTTACTAAATGGAATGACATGACAGAAACATCTTACATCATATAGGGCATACATAGTATGGAGGCATGGTATGACCCAAACATGTCATTAACATCATCAACGACATCAAGCGAAAGCTGTTATAGTGAGTGCGTGAGTTTAGTTCTACGCCACACTCAGCAATATTCCAGCTGTATGGCAGCGGTCTGTAAATAATCAAGTGTGGACCAGACAATCCAGTGATCAACATCAAGAGCATCGATCTAAGCAATTGGGATACGATGACATGTGTCATCCAAGTCAGTCGGATCTTACGACAAGTATGGGATGCTGAAGGTCAATTCTAGCCCGGATCGTCAACGGTAAAACGACGTGTGTATGAAACGCCTAATTATTTCTCCTAACGTAATGAATGATACTTACGAAGTTGAGATAATATTTCACGATGGGACTGCTGTAGAAAACTCCGATTTTCTGACAGGGTGATAACATTCTCCTGGAAGCAAATAACCATACTACAAAATGCCAATGTTTACAGTGTAAATCCATAACAAACCCATAAGCCAACTAATATTTAATCCATTCATGGTCTTAAGTTGGAAAGGGAATGCTTTAAAGCTCAGAAAATGTATTTTGAAAACTAAACGCAATATTCATCACAGGCATACTCTATTTTTCAAAGGATTCGAATTTTAAGAAATACTTACTGCTGCAAGGGCTGTTATAAAAGAAGAAAATAACCGAATTAATGTGTGCATAAGTTAAAAAAACAAAGTTAATGGAAGTCATTATCGACACATCCAGAGATTGATTCATAAAATTGCCTTGTATCAGTATAGTTTTGTCAAATACAGTTTACTTATAGTGTTTGTAATGCAAACTTAATAAAGAATTGTTATTATCAGTCCAATATTTAGCTATACAATTTAATACGATACATGATTTAATTTAGTAAGGGGATGGGGAGATTGGAAGAGTGGGGAACCACCCTGCACCATGAGGCATATCTGGTGCACGTGCGTTTATCAGTGAAAATGACATGTCGTTCAGCTTAATAACCACAACAAGCTGCAACAAGACATTTATTAATAATATGTAACTGAATCAAACTACACTGATGTCTGGTTTGTTTACAGGCATGGCAGCAGCACAGTCAGGATAGTTCGAATCCCCACATGGGTACAATGTGTGAAGCTCATTTCTGGTGTCCCCCGCCGTGATGTTGCTGGAATATTGCTAAAAGCGGCGTAAAACCAAACTCAGTCAGTCAGTCAGTCTTTTGTACTGACGTTCCATATTTACAACGAGACTCACTGTAACGGGACCTTACAACGAGGCAAGGGCTACCTACCTCGGGTTGGTGCTGTAGTCTCGCGATATCTCGACGGGTAGTGCTGGACGAGATTTCCTGGGATTGTCTAAGGCCACGCCCTTTCATCGTCTCCAAGCCCGACATGTCGGTCTGAGGCTTCGCTTCTTCAAACACACTGCAGGATGTCTTGAACGTGATGAGGCAAGGAATGAGCGGCATACACAGGGTGCCTATGGCGATCTGAATCAGAGAGGAGTGAGGGAGTAGCTGGAGCAGCATTACAACAGCATATGCAGAGAAGCAACAAAAAGACTTTTACACATTGTGGCCATGGTAAGAATCATGACTAAGACTATATGATTAGAACTGATTAGGTTGTCAGATGGTGACAATGCTGCTGTTGCTCATGGTGATAATAATATAAATCAAAGAAAAGACATTCTATAATCATAGAAAAATTCTACTTAAAGATGATTATATCATGAGTATGTTATGAATCACTGTCAAATAGTGATGATACTAGGAGTCCGCGAACACCTCCTGGTGTGTTTATGAATCACTATCAAATAGTGACGATTCTGTATGTGCCCGCGAACACCTCCTGGTGTGTTTATGAATCACTATCAAATAGTGACGATTCTGTATGTGCCCGCGAACACCTCCTGGTGTGTTTATGAATCACTATCAAATAGTGACGATTCTGTATGTGCCCGCGAACACCTCCTGGTGTGTTTATGAATCACTATCAAATAGTGATGATACTTGCTGTATGATTTAATTTATGAATCACCATCAGATTGATGATACCAGGAGACCGCGAACACGTCCTGGTTTGTAACATTGTATAGCTTGGTGTCAGTTGACTACTGATTACAGGTACTTGAAGTTTTAGGATACAGTACGAATGATTCATTGGCGTGTTTAGTGTGGCGCATACCCTGACAAGACCTGTGTCCTGTGATATGCTGCCCATCCAGATGTACTTGATATAGTTCCTGTACGCCAGCGTGGAAAACACTCTTCTGTTGACCTTCGTCAGAGCTATTTTGAGGAGGTTGACTCGCCAGTGGTTCTTCCTCTGCATGTCCGACAGCAAGGTTAAAGTCCTCTCCTTGTCCTCGTTATAACACCCGTCGATTGTGCCGATAGCCAGGCTTAGGAACTGACTGGACACGTGGAAATACAGCTTGTAGACAATCATAATACTTCATGTATAATTATACAAAACGTAAACTTAACGTTACAACACATACCGATATCCACATAATTATACACATTCATTGCCCTACATCATGAAATGTATGTACCTCAGCTGCAATGCAACATTGGGGATTATACATGTACAACTATGTTATACAAAGCAAAAAGAGGTAAAAGTCAACACCAAAGTAAATAAAATTAGAATAAACAGGGTGTTCTGTAACTTCTCTTGATGAGTATATATACAAACATGCGTCGGTAGTTGCATACAGTTTAACGATAAGTCTGAAATACCATGTATCAGCATTACAGATAAAGAATCTGTGACTACAGTAATAGCTAAAACGAAAGTTAATACATTCTATAGATGGACAACGGCTTAGATATACAAAGAACTAACAGCTATGGATTCCAGAGTTTTAAGCTTTCCATTTATCAAGAATGATAATAATTTTATAAATATATAACTTCTTTATTCTGTAAAAGGCGACATTTCGACATAGATTCAAATGTCGTTGTCAAGCAAGTGAAGCTATGTCGAAACGTCGTCTTCACAGAATAAAGAAATTGTATATCTATAAAATTATCATCATTCTTCATCACCTCAACATCCAAACTCCCCATCAAAGACGTTTCCAGTTATCATTTCAATTAGAACAGCCTATATCACGAGTTTCTGTAGCCGACATAGAGTCGGTTGATCAGTTTCCTGTCAGTACCTTGACAGTGTGTGGGTTTCATAAAGCAGTAAACTTCTCATAATGGGTCTGGTTTTTCTCTCAAAGTAGACAGATGCACCGAGACATACTGACAAATACTCACTCTGCGTGTTCCTTGAGTTTGTTCTTCTCGTTGATGCTCTCGTTTGACGTGGCTATAGATCGGAGTATTGTGCTGGCCACTAGGGCTGAGACGATCAGATCCTGGCAACAGGAAAGTACATACAGCAGGGGACACCATGGGTCCATGTATATCGAAATGACCCAATGATCAGCATGAGACAAATTGAAGTCTAATTAGGCAAGACAAATTGAATCTCAATTTTTGGGAAAAATTAATCACCGAAAAAAAATATGCACAATTAGCTTTGATATACAACTATAACCATTATCATCATAAGCGAGACAATTTGAATTGGAACTATATGTGGTACCTTTAACCATATAATATGGTATATGAATAGAAGTTATTTGAATATGCCTTCACTTCAATAAGCATCATTTTCTCTAATTGTTCTTTGAGCACATCTGAACTTCACGAATATGTGTTGTTACTTTATATGTATGGTTGGTGTTTAACGTCACACTCGGCGTCGGTCTGTAAATAATCGAGTCGGAACCAGACAATCCAGTAACCAACAGCATGAACATCGACCTATACAATTGGGATACGATGACATGTGTCAACCAAGTTATTGAATGTTAAACTTAATACGGACATTAATACGGTATCAAAGCAATGTAACGCTGTTCGTCCTGTCTTTCTGCAAACTCTGGTGTACTACATATGTAAGATGTATTAAAGAAGTATTTTAACCCGCCATGAAACGAGACGGTCAAACGGGAATAGAAGCGTATATGCAGATCAATAGAACTTCTTGGTTCCAAACAATGAAGAGCAGACTTGTGAGCTTTCGATGTTGGATTACATCAGTATATAACACACGCGTTTGTGGAATCGTGAGAAAACATTACGTTAAAGCCGAGAATGACCAGTCTCCATTATTAGTCGATTCAGATCACATTGGATGTGACAGGAAAACCAGCGGCGAACATTTTGCACATGCTCTGCTCTACCGGTGCCATTACAGAAACGGTATTTACAGCAACATTTGATGTGACTTAACCACAAGTGCGAGTGAGGTAGGGTGTAGTTGCGTTCAGCAACATTCCAGCGATATCGCTTCTGGGGACACTAGAAGTTATCCATATGGAGAATCGAAGCCGGCGTGACAACAGAACGATTTAATAAAAGAATACCAAGATATGGTTTGAAGTGACATAGCATATAGCGTATGTGAGTATGAATGTTGAGAGGGTGAATGTTGTTTTAAGCATAATCAGAGAAAGTACAGCTTAAAGATGCACCGGCCAAACCAGTGATCAACGTTGTCAGGTTTAGAAGACATAATATCAGCCAGATGGCTACAGTGGACAGTTAATCCTAATATACCCTCATTGCGACTAACTAACTGCTATATAAACATGACATGGCAGTACCTTTCCCCTCTTCCAGAAAAACTGGGCCATGGTGGACTTGTTGGAGAGAACCGCCCACAGGAACAACTCGTGGAAAGGTCCAAGTTTTAATTTTTCAATGATTGATTTACTGTCTGAAAATGATAATTTTAAAAAAATACTACAAAGACTTTGATTGTTATGCTGCGATTGACATTTCATGACAAAATCAAATTCAAATCAGATTTTTACATGACCTCCTTTATAGTGTCGGGGTCGAATTATCAACTTAGTTTAGTGGCTGTTCATATTTAAATCTGCAGACAAGGTGAACGAATCCTTGTGGTTTCAGTGATTGCATGCGCTTCGAGCAATCCATTCCAGACAATTAGCAGCCTAAACCGCATAATTTACCATCATTGGTATTATCTTCACAGACATAGTTTGTATATGAAACACAATTGATGCTTCATGCATAATCATATCAATGAATTCATGTTGTTGTTATTTTGTCAAATGGACAATTTTCAAACATATCGATTAAATAAAAATAGTATTACTGCCATGACACCTGGTTAACCAAACCCGCGATCTCATTTGTCAAGCAGATTTTGCATCCATGCTAAACATGTTGTTTGTTGTTTAACGCCGCGCTCAGCAATACTCCAGCTATATGACGGCGATCTGTAAATAATCGAGTCTTGACCAGACAATCCAGTGATCAGCAGCATGAGCATCATCAACTTGGATACGATGACATGTGTCAGTCAGCCAAGTGAACGAGAATGACCTACCGATCCCGTTAGTCGCCTATTACATTGCTGAAGACCAATTCTAACTCGGATCTTCACGGGTACCGTTCTAAATAACCGATAACTCAAAACCTGTGTGTGGGTCACCATGGGTTTTACTGGTGTATGTATATACCTAGTAGCAGTCCTGTCTTCTCCTCCCTGATCTTACAGAAGCTGGGGATACGGCTGTCCACGTAGTGCTGTACTCGCCAGGGGGTCTGCAACATCAGTACACACAGTAAGACACTTCTCACACAGACATCTACAAGCAGTGATATTAAAGACAAGAACCTATTCTCCACGACCTGTGTCCATTTCAATGAGTGAGTGAGTGAGTTTAGTTTTATGCCGCTTTGAGCAATATTCCCGCAATATCACGGCAGGGAACACCAGAAATGAGCTTCACACATTGTACCCACGTGGGAATCGAACCAGGGCCTTTGGCGTGACGAGCGAACGCTTTAACGACTAGGCTACCCACCGGCCCGTCAGTTCAGTTTATATCCACAGACGTCCAGGATTTCTGTATTGCAGATTCCAATTTAATTTATCCCATTTCAATTTTCCAATGGGTCCAATTTAGACAGGTATAACACAATATAATATAATCAGCCAAACTTACCTCGTGTTTCTGATGACGGTCCAGATCATCAATCAATGCTTTCGGTAGGAGAGTTCGTGCCTGGAGAAGACATAGAGGGAATTCAATACTATGAATGCGAATGACTCTACGAAAGACAGCATACAGACCTCAATGTATAATGAGTGAGTACGCTAGTGGGCAAAGATATTTAATCACACGTAACACCATGGATGTCACAGAGGCGAGGGAGTAGACAAGCACTGAAAGCATCTGTAATGATATGTATCCTGAATGTGTCCCCAGTGTGAAGACGAGTCCTTGTGTCTCACACCGTGACATGGATAAAATATTGCAAATCACTCACTTATTCATCTGTGGTTGTAATAGGCTTATTCTCAGCATTTGTTATAAGAACATTCATTGTGGTTTTTAACCATCGCAAAATAAGTGTTTTGTAAATTGCTCACAAAGCGTTTTTCCAAACCATATAATTATTTAATCTAATGGCCTTGTTACAATATCAGCAATATCACCATTTCCTTCACAATGTGTATCGACCTACGACCTGGCAAGTAAAATGACACGACTACCGTCATACAGAGGCATATGACTCGCGGTTATGCTACGGGTACTGCTCACTCTACTGTCTGTACTTGAAACCTTACCCTGTCGTACAGTTCCCCAAGGCGCTTGTTGGTGAAGAACCCTTTGAAGTCAACACCTTCAAAGTCTATGATGAACTCTACAATCTCCACTCTCTCCATTAGGATGGCCTCAAACAGTATCAGCTCCATCGTCTTCTTGCCATCTGGATAAGATGCAGGTAAATTAATACGTGATGGACCCATGAAGATCCGGGTTAGAATATTGATCTTCAGGAACCCATGCTTATCGTAAGAGGCGACTTACGGGATCGGGTGGTCAGGCTCGCTGACTTGGTTGACACAAGTCAATCCCAATTGAGTAGATCAATGCTCATGCTGTTGTTCACTGGATTGTCTGGTCCAGACTCGATTATTTACAGACCGACGCCATATAGCTGGAATATTGCTGGGTGGCGTTAACAACATGCAACAATATTTTATTTCGATTTCCGAACCTCTACAACCCAGTTTTACAATTGTTCTAAATAAAAAGAGGAACAGTATTGCTATTGCCACTTATATGGGAGATTATCCTTACCTGTCAAGCCTCTTTCTGACTGAAACATGTCATCCAGGACGAGGTTGCCGAATTTGGCGAAGCTTTTCTGGTCGTACACGGGCGTTGAGAAAAACTGATCCATCAGTCGTAACAGCTCGTGAGTCTTCTTTGCTGCAGTGGGACAAACATGTATGCAATGCAACAGTTTGTGATGTGTTATTTGTAGAAGAAATAAACATACGGGCATCTACTGTGAAGGATCAACTCGATCCTCTGTTTGACTGTTTTGGCTTTTTGATACTTGGCCATGATCCGATCAAAAAGTTACACTGGATATTCAAGCGTGGGGCAAAGTATTGTCTGTTAGATTTGATGTGCATTGTTAATGTGAAACACATAGGGGTCCGCACTTCTGCATGTTCTAGATTCCCAATTTGGTACGGAAACATAGGTGTGATATTAAATATCTAATCATTCTCATATGAATCTCACATGAATTCCCTCTTTACATTCATAAACAGGATAGCCTGTTTTTATATTGTATTGTCTTTTATTATATTGTATTGTCTTCTATAGCTACAAGTTTTTTAGTTTTTCATACTAGTTTTATATGTGTGTGTGTGTGTGTGTGTGTGTGTGTGTGTGTGTGTGTGTGTGTGTGTGTGTGTGTGTGTGTGTGTGTGTGTGTGTGTGTGTGTGTGTGTGTGTGTGTGTGTGATATTGATCCTCTAGTTATTTTACTGTCCTTCGTTGACAGGATTTTATAATTTTACTTTTATTGTACGGCTTTATTTATTATTCAAATCCTCGTCACGACATGGCTGCAATATTGCCGATGTGACGTAAAAGTTTAACTTACTCACTCATAAACAGGATAAAAATTCAGCGGTGTTTCCATGACCACGAGTACTTAATAAATGTACACGTAGACTTGTCATGCTATGACAAGCAAATATCAAGATACGATTATCAACATCTCGAACCCGTCCTTTCGCGAACACCTTTTATCATAACAATTTCATCGTGAGCCATAAAGACGTAATTGTGACATAATAGGACAGCATCGTGTACCCTGCTTTCAACATAGATTTCATTTGATTGTGCAAAGGAATGTGTCGCTTTCGTGTAAAAAAACACGTTCATGATGATGTAATTCTTTCTCTATTGTGACATTAATAAACTGACTTTTGAGAAGCGCCTGCAAGACTGCCCTGAGCAGATTGTCGCCGGGGTTGTCCATGTCGTACACGGTGAGGAGGTATCTCTTCTGAAGACACTGCAGGATGGCGTGCAGTACCTCCTCTACGCCCTTCTTTTGTCTCTGGAACCGTTCGATCCGTCTCCGCAGCTTCTGTCGCAATGTGCTGTCCATCACCGTACCCGTCCTGCAACATCGCCGACACATGTATCGAATGCAGTTAGTTATCCGAATCATTAGACAATATCATTCAAATCAGATGTTTGACTCCCATTCGATAAACTGCAATAGAATACCTGAGATCGAAGTTTAGGTATCTATAATATGGAGGTACACGAATGGTATATCCTGGAGAAGATATTTATTCCCCATTCTTATTGTGAAAATGTGTTGACACCAAAGTAATTCATTTCTTTATGGAATTCTTAGATTATAAAAATGTTAGGGGCTGGGTTTTTTTTTTTCACTTTTATTTATATAAGTTCTTTCAATCTGAATTCTCTAAACCTAACATATAATAAAAATTTGGAATATAGTCATCATCACTTTTTCAAACTCTCTTTTTAAAGTACATAATCTGAATTCTCTAAACCCAGCATATGATAAAAAATTGGAATATATTAGACATCACTTGTCAAACTCTTCCTGATGTTTCAACAGTTGACAAAAACGATACATGGAAATTCGGCATAAATAATTCAAGATACAAAATTACGTAATGTCTTAGTGCTTGTATGTCTCACCTCCATCTCTCGTCTTGGTCCTTGCCCTGTCCTGTGACTATAGCATGGGACTCCTTGTAGCCAGTCGCCAGGATGTCTGCGATCCCACCTGACCCCTGACAAACACATAGCAATACTGGGAATTAATTGATGACGTGTTGGCTTCATTCAGCGACATTGCGGAGCCACGCTAGACCTCAGTCGTCAATCCGAAATCCAATTACAGCGGGTCGTATGTTCACTTACCAGTGCCGAAAAACGTGAAACATGTCAATAAATGTAACTTAGTTAAAATTTACATTTACGCAAAAATTATGATTCATTGATCAAATAATCTTAGTAGCAGTCATGGTTAACTGATTACGACAGAGGCGGTGAGGTAGCCTAATCGTTTAAAGCGTCCGCTCGTCACGACGAAGGCCCGGGTTTTACTAGCCACATAGGTACAATGTGTGAAGCCCATTTCTGGTACCCCCGTCGTGATATTGCTGGAACATTGCTAAAAGCGGCCTAAAACCATACTCATTCACTGACTGATTACGACATACGTCACAATGCCATTTCCATGGATACTACATTTGCTACTCAAATTGTATATGCCATAAGAACGAAGGCCGTGTTAACCAATTTGATCAGAGATTATCGGATGTGACTGAAAGCGTGTAATGGTAGCCTGGCTGTAGCTGTAGTTACAACGTGAATCTCGATCTGTATCAGTGACGCATGGTCATCGAAATACAACGGTAAATCATGGTTTTTGCCCTAAAGGTAGAGGAATCGAGGGCAATACCTGCAGATAGATGCATTTGGACATCGAGCGATTTTCACAACTGGTCGATCATTCAGAGCAATAAGACGTAACATTGTTTCATGATTCAGAACAATACTATTTAATCAGTTGTTATCGACGGTCGGTGTCATAAATATGGAACATTCAATACGATTCCCATGACACAAGACCCGTGAAGATCCGGGTTACAATTGATCTTCAGTAACCCATGCTTGTCGTGGCGACAAACGGGATCGGGTGGTCAGACTTGCTGACTTGGTTGACGCATGTCATCGTATCCCAGTTGCGTAGATAGATGCTCATGCTGTTGTTAAAATCTGGATTGTCTGGTCCAGACTCGATTATTTACAGACCGCCGCCATATAGCTGGAATATTGCTGAGTTAATCAACAAACCAACCAGTCAACCCGTGACACAATCCGCCAACATGCTCAACAGGAAAGTTCTATATTTTACGACAGCTTCATTCACTCTTACTCCTTGGCGGACGCCTTCTCAAGTTCTACCTCAGGTGGGGCGAACTATGTTGATAGGAATAAAGTTACTTTACGGTAAATATATCAGTGTTTAATTGAAGATGAAGTCGTTTTATCGATAAATTATATTTTTTTATTAAAACTGAGGCGAGGTTTTGGCTTAAGTTTAATCACCTTTCTCAAACAAGTGATACAAATGCTAGACTGATACGTTGCCTAAATGTTATTAAGAAAGTGTTTATCTACAGCTCGTCCTTGGTCATTATGCCAACTTCTAAATGCTACCCAAGATGTTATATCATTACACGAGAAAAGCAGGAGGCGTTGCCGCTGAGAGGGTTAACACACTGTAAAATGTGAAAGTCAACAACACCCCGGCAGATTGGATACTTGCCAAGAGTCGATGACAATGCACTTTCACTCATTCATTGGTGAGGTGAGGTGAGGTGAAATTGGGTTTAACGTCGTGCTTGAGAATATTTCGCTCATAAGACGACGTGCATGCGTGTGTATGTGTATGTGCGGCTGCTTGTACTAGCCCAGACTTAAGCTGGTTTTATAGTGCTAGCCCACTGAGATACCATGCCGCAGTGAAGCATGAATACCCCACTCAGACACATTATACTGACTCCGAGCCGACCAGTCCTTGTTGTACCCATTAATGCCGAGCGCCAGGCAGGGACCAATAAGTACCATATTTTAACGTCTTTTGGTATGAAGCGGTCGGGGATCGAACCCGCGACCTTCCGCTCTCCGGGCGGACGCTCTAACCACTACACCACGGAGGCGGTCTCATTCATTGGTACATTGCAGTAGAGGTATGAAGTAAAATATGACTGAATAACTGCTATCTAAAGTTAAGAGAGAGGTAATTTTATCATTGTAAGTGATCAAATTTCACATAACCCAACCTGAAATAGGTTCGCAATAAACAAGAGAAAAACGTTTGACTTTGGATAAAAATGTATATTTTACGACAGATAGACCTTCACACCTGGCATGACGTCACAATACGAAACAACAAAGGTCCCAACATTCATCAACCTTTGATGTTAATGATAAAGATCAGAGATCAAACACCGGTATACAAATAAATTTTTAGGTTGTATAACAACCGGCAAACCGTGGCGCTATTTTATAGTAAATCAGGTAATGTCGTAAAAATCAAAGTTTCTGCAGGATTGGGTGGGGAATATGTGCTGTCTGATCTAATCTGAATCGCGGTTCAATGCATTTGCGGTCAGTACACAAGTTAAATACTATTCTACCAATCAGGGGCCAGTATTCTTAGATCCGGGTTCACATGTGTGATACGTCAATTATCTCAATTATCTCAGTTGGTATATAACTGAAGAGCAAGAATCCGGCCTCGTTCAAGGGGAAACATTTCCGTGCAGGCTAAACTGGGCCGGATGTCCTGACATTGGCAAGATAATTTTCTTCCAAAACGTACGTAAGGGGCGTTGGGGTAGCCTAGTGGTTAAAGCGTTCGTTCGTTACGCCGAAGACCCGGGTTCGATTCCCCACATGGGAACAATGTGTGAAGCCCTTTTCTGGTGTCCCCTGAGTGATATTGCTGGAATATTGCTAAAAGCAACTCACTCACTCCAAATCGTACACCGTGAATACTACAAAACATCCCAATTGTTAAACGTAACTATACACATCCGATCAACATTTGCCAAGGATACAAACAAAATACAATGCCGTTAAATGCAATATGAAAACGAGTAACAGGGGTTGACACTGTTTTCAGCAATATTCTATGATGGGATTCGAACCCGGTATTCGGCATGACTAGCGAACGATTTAACCACAGTGCTACTCCACAGCACCATTAATGGAAAATCTCATTTATACTATGCATATACGTCTTACGTCTGTGTTTGGTGTATAAAATATATAAATACAATTTATAGAACATTTTATTCACTACGCGAGTGCCAATGTGAGGTGTTAAATAGTAAACAAACACTAGGTAAGACACCCCGTGAAGGTCCGGGTTAGAATCGATCTTCAGTAACTATGCTTGTCGTAAGAGGCAACTAACGGGATCGGGTGGTCAGGCTCGCTGACTTGGTTGACACATGTCATTGTATCCCAATTGTGTAGATCGATGCTCATGCTGTTGATCACTGGATTGTCTGGTCCAGACTCAATTATATACAGACCGCCGCCATGTAGCTTGAATATTGCTGAGTGCAGCGTAAAACTAAACTCACTCACTAGGTAAGACATATTGGTATCATGCCAAATCTGGGACGTTAGGGGCATATAGTTTCTGAATGCCTTGAGTGAGTAAGTTCCGGTTAAACCTGTTTTCACATCATTTCTCTAATGGTCTCTATCGAGTACCGGGTTTTGGAGCGAATATTTTATTGTTGCTTCATCCGGTTGATGAGACGTCCTATTAACAATGGCACTGAGTAGAAAAGGCTTTAACAACCACTCGTTGTTATATGCCAGATGCCAGCCTAGTGGGTTAGGTAATGAAGAATAAGGCTTATGGATGACAACTTCTTGTTTATTGAATAGAGTGACATTACGGTGTAGATTCTCACACTGTAATCAAGCTAAATGTGACTACAACCAAGTGAAGGGAAGTATAAATACATAGTATAGTATGTTATGAGTGAGTGAGTGAGTGAGTTGAGTTTTACGCCGCTTTTAGCAATATTCCAGCAATATCACGGCGGGGGACACCAGAAATGAGCTTCACACAATGTACCCATGTGGGGATTCGAACCCGGGTCTTCGGCGTGACGAGCGAACGCTTTAACCACTAGGCTACCCCACCGCCCCATAGTATGTTATGACGAACATAAGAATAACATTAACAACAGCATGTAATGGATAACAAGTGGTACATACTTGGATGAGGCAAGGTGGGGAGTAAGAACAACATATAGCGCGGGCCATGAAGCCAATAAGCAGGAGGGGTTAGGTAATATAAACAGCAAAAACGAGCTAATAGGGTGCATATAGATACAGTCTATAGATTGACTAGTTCTTCGTAGGCCGATAGTATGTGGTGACTCATATATAGGTGAAACCTACGTCAGAAAGTCTTATGCTTCATTATTAACTCACAGACTTCTAGAATGCCGATGAAACAATTAATGGGTTATGTGTTAGGTTGTTTACGCGCAAGGGTCGATTCCTCATGTGGGTTTATCAGTAACTCTTGAGAGAGCCACGCAGTTACACTGATGCAAGAATGCAACAAGCTGCTTAAAAGGTTCTGAACTGAAGCCTTACTCTACACTAACGCTTAGTTTCTGAATATATAAGTTTGATTGTAACATTTAGATTGAAAAGGAGCCCCATCGAGAATGGAATTTTTTTAGGAAATCTAGACTTGCTTCATTTAGAGCTTTAGCATTGCAGGGAGGGCTAGGCAGTTGGGAAAACAATGTGGTTCAGGGAATGTGAGGCAGACCATCAGTAGACTCTAAGGCTGCCGGTTCTGTACTATATCAGCGTCTTACCTTCACGATAACGATCGGAATGTCCTCCAGCAGCGACCGCTTGATGCCGTCGAGGATGTAGGACCAGCCTCCGTACATCAGCGTTACGAGGGGGATGGACGAGGAATCTGGGACAGAAGACATACATATCACTTTAATGATACCATCCACAGATAGTTGTTGTTGCGCTAATCACAAGACACTGTTTACCTCGAGTGTTCATGGTTTAGTAAGCAATTACCGAGGAGTTCCAGGTATTTTATATTATTCTGAACGTCTAACATTATATGTATGGTGTACTTAAAAAGCTTTCAACATTATTACAGTGTATATCATGACGTCTTGGTGTTGGAGGAATCCCGAAATGATGCCGTTTACCACTTTCGTGAAACCCACAGGCACGTTAATGGAGTTGACAAACCAGGGCCCCGTTCCACTTGGATGGTCGTAAGCCTATGTTAAGTATGGGAGTTACGATCACCTTAGAGCTAAGATCACTTTGTGGAACGGGGCCCAGGAATCATAATCAGAGCGAAGATAGTATTCGATATCACGAGCATAGGATGCTGTCACAACTAAGGGAAGCAACACTACGGAGTAAGTATCGCCACCATAGTCGTATACGAGGGTAATTAACCTATCCGTATCCATCTCGCAATGTTCTCAACATTGGGTTCTATTCTGTTGATGACCTTTCGGATCTTCCCGGCACGCTTTCATCATACTTCAGACTCATTAAGAAATTCTACAGAAACAGTAAGACGCCATTCAACAGCCTCTTTCCCCCCAACTAAAGTTCAGTTTTCCTGGAAATACACAGGAAAATATGTTCAAAAGTGACTAATAGCAAATGATACGCGCTGTATAGTGAGGCGCTCAATACTTGTGGCAGCAGTACAAGAAACCCTCCACTGTGCGCTGTATCTGAGCCGTGTAGCAAGTACTTCTTATACCGCGTTCACTAATGTGTTTCACATGGCGCTTATATATGTGTATTGTGTTGCAGCAACAAGACTGCTGCTGTCTTCTTTACAACATATGTCTGTGTGTGTTCAGCGTTGTTCAGGTGTCAGTAATTTCATTTGTGTAGCTGTCGAGCTTTGGTCCAGATGCACAGAGATATGTTAGTGCTAAGACTCCAGTTACTCCAATACTTTAACATCGATGAAAGATGAAATATTTTGAACATATCACTTACGACGACCAAGGTACATAAAGAGTTGCGCAACGGTATCCGTTACACCAAACCACAAAGTTTTAATTAATATCCTTAGGAGAAGAATAATATATATAGTCTAAAGAAGCTACACCAGTGACTTCGTTAAATCTTTGGCCAATGTTCACAACTAGAATAAACTGACCGAATTACATCCATATTTTTGCAATGAAATATACTGTTGACATGCAAAACATTTATTAAAACGTTGCACATTTCTACAATCAATCGATAAGATAACACAAGTGATAGGATTCTTTCCAATGTACAGTAATTCGTATGTTTATTTCAAAACAAACACACATACACACATACACAAATGATCCCTTACATAACCAATACGTATACTATACGTACACATATTCAACATTTTGAAGAAAACATCTATTGAGATGACCCCTCCCCGAGCGTGTGCTCAGGTGTCAATTTCACCTGTCGATACCGTGCATGCTGATGACGTAACACAGGCAGTTAATGTTTGTATCAAATAACGTCCCACTACCCGTTATTTTTCTAAGTTTTTGGTATTTTCATCAGTAAAAACACATTTTAGGGCATGTCTCAAAATTTATTCCCTCGGTCTACATTAGGTAGATGTTTCTTAAAGTGATATTTGTTATTTAAGTAACTGTAATACCTCTGAATTTTAAATATAAGTCAAAAAGCATTTTTCTAGCATTTCCGACAGTACTTTAATATCCTTATTAAAAAGCACCACGGTCGTTTGGCACTCTACAGAAACCCTACTGTGGCTTTCGTCTGAGAAGAACAGCGATATTTAATCTCATTGTTTATTTTGCTCCCGCTACAAGCGCCATGTGTGCATTAATTGGAAGTTCGTTATCAAAGCGGGATTTCAACCGTGGGAAATCAGGTCACACAGTTATTGCAAGTATTTGTACAATAAAAGAATGTTCTAAAAGGGGGCGCATACAAGATAATTATTCATCCCACTATATAAGTATGTACTTCAAACGTTTGTCAAGGTTGATTATAACGATGTACTTTGTTTAAATAAGGCAATGATTTCATCGGCTGTCCATTAACATTGCGAAGGTCTTTACACGTATAACCTGCACATCCATTCATATCATATCAGTTCAAACTTTTGGATAAATAAACAGGAAGGGTTTTTAACGACAACCACAATCCGCCTGATCGCTCGCTGTTACCAATAGAGATGCAGCGCTGTCGTAAGCGACCGGCGTTCAGGAAAGCAGCTGCGTAGCATTCGGCTCAGTTCGCCACAGGTTTCCGGTCGCAGGGGAAATATATCGTGCCTACTTATTATAGCAGTTCTGGGTTCAGATAACGCATACGCTTAACAATGCATTAAAGTGTCGTGTATTACTTGATGGCCGCGGCCAACAGGAATGAGACTTGAAATCTAGCAGGGAGGGAATGGGAGACGAATGGACGTCTAATGGTTAACGCCGTAAGTGAGTGAGTGAGTTTAGTTCTACGCCGCTTTCAGCAATATCACAGCGGGGGACACCAGAAATGGGCTTCACACATTGTACCCATGTGAAAAATCGAACCCGGGTCTTCGGCGTGACGAGCGAACGCTTTAACCACTGGGCCACCACACGCGCCGTAAGAATATCAAGTAAACATATGAATCGATGGGCTGCCATTGCTGAAATAACCACAAGGACTACTGCATATGTACATAGGGCTACGATATTATCTAATGAAATCTTACGGATGCAGTTGCGTTGTTCAGAAATGTCTGGTATGGATGAGTGAGTGAGTGTGCTGCCGCTTTAGACGTTATGTGTTCACAGCGTGTCAAGTCGAAGTCAGGAAAGCCGAAAGCAGTGCATGTTGTTGATGTTTAACAATTATCAACAATTACAATTAAGGCGAGAGAAAGCGAGAAGTTTGGTGATTCAGTCTCGCGGGAAGTGGTTAAAGCCTTCATTCGTCACGAGGTATATACCTAAAACTATACAAATCACATTTTTGGTATATTCCAGCGTGATATTGCTGGAATAATGCTATTATCGACAACGCCTCGCTCACTCACTCATTCGAGCGTAACGAGCTTTTACCACTCTGCTACCCGGCCATCCTCACCATCCTCCATACACTCACACACGACCGTCTGTTGTCTGGTTCAGGTATTGCAAGGATGGCCTAAACTTACCCTTTAATGCATAGTGTGCATATACTGTCAATATTTCATAGACACATGTACGCCTCGTGTAAATGGAGCTGATTATTTTCGGTGAACACTGAACGTGAGCTGTATATGTACCATACAAATTTAAAGAACAATACCATCATTGAAGTCGGCTACGTTGAGCGCCATGTTAAGCCAGAACATCTGGAAGGAAGTGTTGCACAAAACTGGGTTCCGCGTCCCATTGTCCACGAGTAGAGAGTGTGTGATCGATTTCCCCAACTGATCGCCAATACCGCTTTGAATGACATACTCAGCAGGTCCTCGAGATTTGGGGCGCTGGAAGAGTAAACAATACGTCCCATAAATACATCAAGCAGAACGTATTTCGTTACGAACCTACGAATCTCAATCCCGATCCACAAAGTGTTCGTAGCGCTACGACCTTCGTAAATCTATTATGAACTATACAGTTACGACAGGTCGTAGCGTTACGATCGGTTTGTAGATCGGGGCCAAGACTCAGATATATTTACAACAATGCATTCTGTTAAAATATTCAAATTAAACAATGGCCAGTTTTTATGTTGTAGCTTTACCTTTGAATTGAGGAGACCTTCGCTGGACTCAAGGTCACCCCATGACATTACACCAAGGGGGATAATTCTATCACACAGATACTCGTCTGTCCGACATTCAGCTGCTGCGTCCCCGGCGAGACAAGACAAGCCCTCGTCGAGGCCCTCTGTCACCAGCCATACGACTGAAACAAGGAACGTTGAGAGTCAGCATGTCTACAGTGATCGCCACTGCCTTTCAACAAAGAAAACTACAACAAAGTTTAAAATGTTTGCTATGGTAAATGTTGCGTCTAAGGACACATATTTATATATTTGAATTTTGTATTATTTAAATGAGTCGTTGTCATTTCAATCTAGCTTCCACTGAATTTATTACACATGCACTGTAATCCAAACCCCGTACCTGAGTTGGATGCAATGTTTGATAGAGTTGTCTTGAGCTCCTGTGAGAACTTCTCCTCCTTCTGTTCCATGTCCTGCACTTCCACCACCTCGCCCATGACACTGAGGATCCAGTCTGGAGGGGGCATCTGCCACACATCCAGCAGCAGGTGCCTCGTCGTGTCCATGTCCGTGTCCTCGTCCACCCGAACATACTGGAGGAGAGAAGGTAACATGATTATAAAACATTGTGTCCTCGTCCACCCGAACATACTGGAGGAGAGAAGGTTACATGATTATACAACATTGTGTCCTCGTCCACCCGAACATACTGGAGGAGAGAAGGTAACATGATTATAAAACATTGTGTCCTCGTCCACCCGAACATACTGGAAGAGAGAAGGTTGCATGATTATACAACACAGTGTCTCGTCCACCCGAACATACTGGAGGAGAGAAGGTTACATGATTATACAACATTGTGTCCTCGTCCACCCGAACATACTGGAGGAGAGAAGGTTACATGATTATACAACATTGTGTCCTCGTCTACCCGAACATACTGGAGGAGAGAAGGTTACATGATTATACAACATTGTGTCCTCGTCCACCTGAACATACTGGAGGAGAGAAGGTTACATGATTATACAACATTGTGCCCTCGTCCACCCGAACATACTTGAGGAGAGAAGGTTACATGATTATACAACATTGTGTCCTCGTCTACCCGAACATACTGGAGGAGAGAAGGTTACATGATTATACAACATTGTGTCCTCGTCCACCCGAACATACTGGAGGAGAGAAGGTTGCATGATTATATACAACATTGTGTCCTCGTCCACCCGAACATACTGGAGGAGAGAAGGTTACATGATTATACAACATTGTGTCCTCGTCCACCCGAACATACTGGAGGAGAGAAGGTTACATGATTATACAACATTGTGTCCTCGTCCACCCGAACATACTGGAGGAGAGAAGGTTACATGATTATACAACATTGTGTCCTCGTCTACCCGAAACATACTGGAGGAGAGAAGGTTACATGATTATACAACATTGTGTCCTCGTCCACCCGAACATACTGGAGGAGAGAAGGTTACATGATTATACAACATTGGGTCCTCGTCCACCCGAACATACTGGAGGAGAGAAGGTAACATGATTATACAACACTGTGTCCTCGTCCACCCGAACATACTGGAGGAGAGAAGGTTACATGATTATACAACATTGTGTCCTCGTCTACCCGAACATACTGGAGGAGAGAAGGTTACATGATTATACAACATTGTGTCCTCGTCCACCCGAACATACTGGAGGAGAGAAGGTTGCATGATTATACAACACTGTGTCTCGTCCACCCGAACATACTGGAGGAGAGAAGGTAACATGATTATACAACGCTGTGCCTCGTCTACCCGAACATACTGGAGGAGAGAAGGTACCATAATTATACAACGCTGTGTCTCGTCCACCCGAACATACTGGAGGAGAGAAGGTAACATGATTATACAACACTGTGTCCTCGTCCACCCGAACATACTGGAGGAGAGAAGGTTACATGATTATACAACATTGTGTCCTCGTCCACCCGAACATACTGGAGGAGAGAAGGTTACATGATTATACAACATTGTGTCCTCGTCCACCCGAACATACTGGAGGAGAGAAGGTTGCATGATTATACAACACTGTGTCTCGTCCACCCGAACATACTGGAGGAGAGACGGTTACATGATTATACAACATTGTGTCCTCGTCCACCCGAACATACTGGAGGAGAGAAGGTTACATGATTATACAACATTGTGTCCTCGTCCACCCGAACATACTGGAGGAGAGAAGGTTACATGATTATACAACATTGTGTCCTCGTCCACCCGAACATACTGGAGGAGAGAAGGTTACATGATTATACAACATTGTGTCCTCGTCCACCCGAACATACTGGAGGAGAGAAGGTTACATGATTATACAACATTGTGTCCTCGTCCACCCGAACATACTGGAGGAGAGAAGGTTACATGATTATACAACATTGTGTCCTCGTCTACCCGAACATACTGGAGGAGAGAAGGTTGCATGATTATACAACGTTGTGTCTACGTCCACCCGAACATACTGGAGGGGAGAAGGTAACATGATTATACAACGCTGTGTCTCGTCCACCCGAACATACTGGAGGAGAGAAGGTTTCATGATTATACAACATTGTGTCCTCGTCTACCCGAACATACTGGAGGAGAGAAGGTTGCATGATTATACAACGTTGTGTCTACGTCCACCCGAACATACTGGAGGGGAGAAGGTAACATGATTATACAACGCTGTGTCCTCGTCTAGAACATACTGGAGGAGAGAGGTTGCATGATTATACAACACTTGTGTCTCGTCCACCTCGAACATACTGGAGGAGAGAAGGTAACATGATTATACAACGCTGTGTCTCGTCCACCCGAACATACTGGAGGAGAGAAGGTTGCATGATTATACAACGCTGTGTCCTCGTCCACCCGAACATACTGGAGGAGAGAAGGTACCATGATTATACAACGCTGTGTCTCGTCCACCCGAACATACTGGAGGAGAGAAGGTTACATGATTATACAACATTGTGTCCTCGTCCACCCGAACATACTGGAGGAGAGAAGGTTGCATGATTATACAACATTGTGTCCTCGTCCACCCGAACATACTGGAGGAGAGAAGGTTACATGATTATACAACATTGTGTCCTCGTCCACCCGAACATACTGGAGGAGAGAAGGTTACATGATTATACAACATTGTGTCCTCGTCTACCCGAACATACTGGAGGAGAGAAGGTTACATGATTATACAACATTGTGTCCTCGTCTACCCGAACATACTGGAGGCGAGAAGGTTGCATGATTATACAACATTGTGTCCTCGTCTACCCGAACATACTGGAGGAGAGAAGGTTGCATGATTATACAACGTTGTGTCTACGTCCACCCGAACATACTGGAGGGGAGAAGGTAACATGATTATACAACGCTGTGTCTCGTCCACCCGAACATACTGGAGGAGAGAAGGTTTCATGATTATACAACATTGTGTCCTCGTCTACCCGAACATACTGGAGGAGAGAAGGTTGCATGATTATACAACGTTGTGTCTACGTCCACCCGAACATACTGGAGGGGAGAAGGTTACATGATTATACAACGCTGTGTCCTCGTCTACCCGAACATACTGGAGGAGAGAAGGTTGCATGATTATACAACACTGTGTCTCGTCCACCCGAACATACTGGAGGAGAGAAGGTAACATGATTATACAACGCTGTGTCTCGTCCACCCGAACATACTGGAGGAGAGAAGGTTACATGATTATACAACATTGTGTCCTCGTCTACCCGAACATACTGGAGGAGAGAAGGTTGCATGGTTGCATGATTATACAACGCTGTGTCTCTTCCACCCGAACATACTGGAGGGGAGAAGGTAACATGATTATACAACGCTGTGCCTCGTCTACCCGAACATACTGGAGGAGAGAAGGTACCATAATTATACAACGCTGTGTCTCGTCCACCCGAACATACTGGAGGAGAGAAGGTTACATGATTATACAACATTGTGTCCTCGTCTACCCGAACATACTGGAGGCGAGAAGGTTACATGATTATACAACATTGTGTCCTCGTCTACCCGAACATACTGGAGGAGAGAAGGTTGCATGATTATACAACGTTGTGTCTACGTCCACCCGAACATACTGGAGGGGAGAAGGTAACATGATTATACAACGCTGTGTCTCGTCCACCCGAACATACTGGAGGAGAGAAGGTTTCATGATTATACAACATTGTGTCCTCGTCTACCCGAACATACTGGAGGAGAGAAGGTTGCATGATTATACAACGTTGTGTCTACGTCCACCCGAACATACTGGAGGGGAGAAGGTAACATGATTATACAACGCTGTGTCCTCGTCTACCCGAACATACTGGAGGAGAGAAGGTTGCATGATTATACAACACTGTGTCTCGTCCACCCGAACATACTGGAGGAGAGAAGGTAACATGATTATACAACGCTGTGTCTCGTCCACCCGAACATACTGGAGGAGAGAAGGTTACATGATTATACAACATTGTGTCCTCGTCTACCCGAACATACTGGAGGAGAGATGGTTGCATGATTATACAACACTGTGTCTCGTCCACCCGAACATACTGGAGGGGAGAAGGTAACATAATTATACAACGCTGTGTCTCGTCCACCCGAAAATACTGGAGGAGAGAAGGTTACATAGTGTCCTCGTTCACCCGAACATACTGGAAGTGTGTAAGATGCATAATTATACAATGCAAATTATGCGAGAACGTGACAGGCGATAGTTGTTCACTCGGTCACCAGGGTCCCTTGAACCCACTGTAGACCAGCACAGTCACAATTGTATTCCCATCATCTGTCACAAGCGGCTGACAGTGTAAAAAAACAAACTTAGACTTAATACCAGTTGTGTCAGATGTCATCTTCTGTTGTACAATTCAGCTACAAGCTAGCAATGCTATTATGGGTCTTCAGAAGCATCATGACACAACTAAGTACAATCGTTTTTGAAAATTGCTAACACCTACTAAGGAGCTCGAGGCACGGGTGGCCAATCGTCTATGGCGCAATTCGCTGTGCAGAGTCGCGTCCCTTGGGAGCGCAAGCCACTTATGACTGTGAGTTCGCACCCCGGTTAACCCCGATGATATTTGTACGTTTGTCAGCACTATGCCCATCGGTTTCACTAAATGGTTAATGGTAGACACGCATCACTGCGGGTTTTGCTCTGATATTAAGCTTACACAACCTGATATACACTGGAATATTGTTTAAAGTAGCGTTTTAACCCAACTCGCTAACTTAAAAGCAATCTCAAAATGAATCATGGATCCAGGTCCGTGGAATCCAGTCAGATACAACCACCATCACGCCGAAGGCCCGGATTCGATTCCCCACATGGGTACAATGTGTGAAGCCCATTTCTGGTGTCCCCCGCCGTGATATTGCTGGAATATTTCTAAAAGCGGCGTAAAACTATACTCGCTCGCTCACTTCTTGTAGTGTGTATGTGATATTTATCTTTTGATCTCTGTTATGTTGTATTGTATAAAACGCCTTCAGTCAACGACAAGCGCCATGTATTATTACTGTTAAACAGAGCGAAAAGACAAGCGATATTAGTATTAGTTTCCCAGTATTCTCTATCTCGCTTGCAGAGTATACTATGTCAACCTGGAGTTGTACTATCAGCACGTAACGTATACATATCGTACACAAATATTTTCATGGTCGAGTGATTGTTACGTAACTATCATTATCTACATACATACACATGAAACAGCTCTAGGTGTACATGTCCATGAATGTAAACATTCACAATGTTAATTCCTGTCATGTAGGAATGTCAAGCAGGGCTATCTTATCGCTTGTGTTACTCTACACCTCTCTCGTGAATAGTATCGAGTAGGCTCTTTAGATATGTGTATCTGACAGTGTGTTTGATGGATGGAAAGGTACGGTACACAATGTAACGTTCATGTATAGTGATGTAATGAATACGGTTGGTTTAACGTCATTCTGTTCAATCAATCAATTTCTCGCCATTATCATAAAACAAATATTCAAGTGGCTGTTTCAACATTACAGATAAGAATCTTTTATTTCCCAAGTGCATGGACGTTCGAAATAACGATAACACAGGGGCATACGTAGGGCAGAGAATGCTTACCCGTTTCGCGAACCATGTCTTCATATTAATTTTCAGCGATGCATTCACTGCTATTTGGCATTTTACGCTCAGCGGTATTGGTTTGTCGAGACTGGTTAACGTATGGCGTGGATATTTTTAATGTATAGTTATGTTAGTATTAGCACTAACGTACCTTTGTACACATGGACCAAAGACTTGGATTACGCACGAATACAAGTACTGTTGTACATGCATTCACTATATAGATTTACATAAAATCAATTTGCAATGCAGCCTGATTACTAGTTATTACTCATTTTACCATGACTTCAGTAAATACTGCATTGCGATTGGCTAGTAAGTCATTCAGAGGTATATAACCGCGTTATAGACCTCTGATTTTCCCCACTGGTCGGGATGGTGGCCACCTGGTAAAACGGCTTTCCAAACATGAAACACATGGAGCAACACAGGATACGTGCAGGTTTAGCCTACGTAATACGTTATTCCACGGGAAAGTATTGTTTCTGGGTTAATGCAGTTCCCAATGAATCGGCAGAAATGCAGATGTACCAGTATGGAAATCTTTAAAAACCTGTTAATTCCGTTAACCAGGGAGATAACTAAAACCTGCGGTATGGTCGTTACAGAAATTATAAACCAGTTAGCTAGCACGACACAGAGTCTGCAGCAACAAGTGCCCTAGCCACTGCCTATCAGCTACAAGGCCCCGAAACTTGGATCTGGTCTCGTCATCAATTATAGCATCAAAGGCGCACTGGTGTTCTGGTGATCTAGCGGACGTTAACTTTTTAAGCTAACGCCAGAAACGCACCGAACGCCATTTGCAAATAAACAGAGATACAACATGTCAGTGTGTTATCAGTCCCGTGTTCTTTCAGATAGACATGTAATCCCAGGATTTATAAATTTGAATCAACATAGGCTTACGTCTTCAGGCCTACGGCGTAGGCATTGCTATGTTGTTATTTACTGTACATAAAAAGTGGTATTACTAGTTGATAAACATAGTGAAATAACTTCCAGTCCACTATGACGTTGGATTCCCAAGCACGCACTTGGTGAGTGTGTGTGTAAGGTTAGCTTTACGCCGCGTTTTGCAATATTCCAGCAATATCACGGCAGGGGACACCAGAAATAGACTTCATGCATTGTACGCGGGGATCGAACCCGAGTCTTCGGCATGACGAACGAACGTTTTAACCAGTAGGTTAACCCACCGCCTCATCCACACTGTAAGAGCTGGAACATCGTTTCTAGAATGTTTAATACTAGGAGTATACACTTAAGGTCAAACAAACGCCCGTTTGACAGCGACCCCCAGGCTAAAATGCCGATCTCTGTCAAGGTTGTATGTATCTGTAATGTAAGTTCGTACTGAATGTTATGTTCATCAGTGATAAAACAATATTACACGTGACACCAATTGGAAACTCAATACCTTTATGAAATGGGAACTGTCACATATTTAAGAGAACAATAATTAATGTACAGGATATGTTTTTCATCTATATGCTCATTTTGCATCACATTGTGAAGATGGGGTATGGGGTATTGTCATGTTTTCATTAAAGCAGAGAACCCAGTGTTACATAACCAAAACAGCATATACAGTACTGGGAAGCATAAGTCCTACATGAGTATTTGTAAGAACCTAGCAACGCAGTATATTAAGTAGACCCGGTCACCACCAACATGCCAAACATTGACTTCATCATGTATATTTTGGACTAAATTGTTTATACTATACTTAAAATCGTTTTTCTGTTGTCAGTTACTTCTGTAGCAGTTTGCGATACAAGTATATATATATTTATCCTGGTCCGCTTAACACGACCTCCGATTTTCTGGAACCAACATTTCGAAAGCAACATTCGAAAATATTCGATGAATTCCATCTAATGTTTGCAGCCTTATGCAGGATCGTATGTAAGAGATTCGATCTCTGACGCCGAAATGTGGTCATTCATCAACTTCCGTAGCTTTGGAACTCGCAAAACATGCAGACTAACGAAGGTTCGTGAGCAAGTCTATTCGTTCATGGCCATGTATTTACGCACTTAGCAATGTGATACCCATGCCTTGCATGTGGTGATGAAGCGATGGATGTCCCGGAGTCCTAGAGATTATGTCTGTCGGTTAGCAACGTGTCTAGTGTATCCGTGACATTTATAGCCCTGTTATATACTATGAGTGGTGCAGTGCTGTATATAAGTGTGTGCGACAAGGTGCAGCCTCTCCACTGCCGTTATTAACATGCAGTTTGGGTCATGTTACATAGATATGTCCTTCATCACCGGAAAGTTCGAGATGACATCTTTCCAGCTGATCTCAGTTTAAGTATAATTAGCTGGCAAATTGCCTATTCAATATTGTTCCAAAATCACGTTTTTACGATACGTTATGAGCCATATGTTTCACCGCCTTACCCCATTTGTATACAGTCGTCGATATTAAAAGCACCTGAAAGTCAAATGTCACAAATGTTGATCAAGAACATATGTTTGAAAAGCATTACCTCTTAACAACAGCTATCGTGGTGCTCAAATTATGAAAACCTTTTTCGACTCATGCTACATTTAGATTTAACTTGTTTAGAACGACATACACTGGTTGTTAGGCGGAAAAACTATTTACATATATGCCGCGGTGGTGTTCGCTTTTTCAGTCTCAAAGATGAAATATAACAACACTTGGCTTCCGCGAATTGTTTACACATTCATACCACTTGGTTATGGCATTAGCATGTAGAGAACAAATTACCTTGAACTTTGACAGCACTTTCCCGTTTGTACTTTTGGTAACAGCATCTCCGTAGGCATTTGTTCTGGAGGTCTGTGTGTTCTTCTCCTTAGACCACGCCCTACAATCAACGTCAGTCAGCCTTTCGTGATCTTCCAACTTTCTGAAGCACTTGCAGATATCCACTCCTGGCTTTACCCTGAAACACGTGGACAGTAACTGAAACATTTATAGGGAAATATGTAGAAAAAAGATACGTTGGACTAGTTTGTGTGCGGTACCTGAATGAGTTGTGTGATAATTTACATGACAGTCAAGACTGATGAGTTGTAAGTGGACCACGTTTGCTGAAATATTCAATTGGCCCATGTAAATTAAAGGCATAATGTGCTTGCATGGCACGACTGAAATATCTAACGTCATAAATGTCTTGCTTAACGGAATGACATGACTGAAATATCTAATGTCATAAAGATCTTACTGAACGGAATGACAAAACATCTAACGTCATAAAGGTCTTACTTAACGGAATGACATGACTGAAACATCTAACGTCATAAAGGTCTTACTTAACAGAATGGCATGACTTAAACAGCTAACGTCATAATTTTACGTCATAAATGACAAAACATCTTACAAAGGACTTATAACGGAATGAAATGACTGAAACATCTAACGTCATAAAGGTCTTACTTAACGGAATGGCATGACAGAAACATCTAACGTCATAAAGGACTTACTTAACGGAATGGCATGACTGAAACATCTAACGTCATAAAGGTCTTACTTAACGGAATGAAATGACTGAAACATCTAACGTCATAATCTTACTGAACGGAATGACAAAACATCTAACGTCATAAAGGACTTAATTAAAGGAATGAAATGACTGAAACATCTAACGTCATAAAGGTCTTACTTAACAGAATGGCATGACTTAAACAGCTAACGTCATAAAGATCTTACATAACGGAATAAAATGACTGAAACATCTAACGTCATAAAGATCTTACATAACGGAATGAAATGACTGAAACATCTAACGTCATAATCTTACTGAACGGAATGACAAAACATCTAACGTCATAAAGGACTTAATTAACGGAATGAAATGACCGAAACATCTAACGTCATAGACCGCCGTGATGTTGCTGGAATATTGCTAAAAGCGGCGTAAAACCCAACTCAGTCAGTCAGTCTAACGTCATAGAGGTCTTACTTAACAGAATGAAATGACTGAAACATCTAACGTCATATTCTTACTGAACGGAATAAAATGACTGAAACATCTAACGTCATATTCTTACTGAAAGGAATGACAAAACATCTAACGTCATAAAGGACTTACTTAGCGGAATGACACGACGGAGACATCTAACGTCAAAAAAGATCTTACTTAACAGAATGACTTAAACATCTAACGTCATAAAGGTCCTACTGAACGGAATGACAAAACATCTAAAGGACTTACTCAACGGAATGACACGCCTAAAACATCTAACGTCATAAAGATCTTACTTAACAGAATGGCATGACTTAAACATCTAACGTCATAAAGGTCTTACTAAATGGAATGACATGACAGAAACATCTTACATCATATAGGGCATACATAGTATGGAGGCATGGTATGACCCAAACATATCATTAACATCATCAACGACATCAAGCGAAAGCTGTTATAGTGAGTGCGTGAGTTTAGTTCTACGTCACACTCAGCAATATTCCCGCTGTATGGCAGCAGTCTGTAAATAATCAAGCGTGGACCAGACAATCCAGTGATCAACAGCATGAGCATCGATTTACGCAATTGGGATACGATGACATGTGTCAACCAAGTCAGCGCTCGAGCCTGACCACCCGATCCCGTTAGTCGCCTCTTACGACAAGCATGGGCTACTGAAGATCAATTATATCCCGGATCTGTTATAGAATGCGTCGACAATCGTGCTGGTAAGTTTGAAAATTTTTAGTATCCATGTTTTCGCCACTTCACAATGACACATGGCTGTTTTGTGTTTCTACGTCTGTAACATCCATAACCTTCAAATACCACGACACGACCACGAATATGTGGAATAACTGCACGACAGATTTAATGAGGGTACTTATATAACATCAGTCAATCTTTAAGTTTGGTTAAAAGAACTTGCTTCAAGTGTGTTGTTTTCCATTAACACACCCGCCCTTATGGAAACATGCCAGGTGTTAAGTATTTACAAGCATGGCGTAGGGCATCAGATGTTTCACTCGGGCAATGTTTCATGGCGAAATGATCTTTTAACGATATAATTGAACAAAACAAAGATTCGAAAAACATAGTAACAGGTAAGGAACAGTAAATGTCTTCTTGTTGTAATTAGTGCCTTGTTAAAAAGCAACCATAATTATCAGTTTCGATTTTCTGCCGAAACAGATTCAACTGAGCGTAAAAGCAAAACAGCGGTAAAAACTGAAAGAGTATATTGAAAATAAATGACGACACCAGGTGTTCGTTAAAAGGTTAACCATGTTCTGCCCTGGAGACAGAGCAGCGATGACTTAGGTGGTACATACGTACCAATTAGAAATAGTTAACGTAATTCCGTGAGTGGGTTGTTTCTTGCACTGTGGCAACGGTCACCATGTTCTGCCCTGGCGACAGAGCAATGTTTTTTGTGTAATTACGATAATAGCTAACTGCTAAATTGCCATATCTCAATTACACTTGATTTGACAATCTTTCTGTATAACCAGAACGAAACTAGCCAGGACTGCCAATAGACCGAGCTTGGTCCCATATTAGTGACAGACTCTGAGAGTGCTAACAGCACCGGAATGATGAAACACTGTTATTTGACAAACTGCATGTACTGTTACTATGACGTATATAACTCGCGATGATAGTCATGAGTGAGTGATTTTAGTTTTACGCCGCTTTTAGCAATATTCCAGCAATATCACGGCGAGGAACACCAGAAATAGGCTTCACACATGGAACCCATGTGGGAATTGAACCCGGGTATTCGGCGTGACGAGCGAACGCTCGAACCACTAGGCTACCCTACCGCCCCTTATACACATGATCTGAGTGATTACAGTGTCTACACACTGACAGTGTCTACATATCCTCCCAACTATCAACATGACATTGCTGTTTACTGTCCAGTCGAACGAGTTCGGATCGTCAGGCTCGCGGACTTGGTTGACATATGTCATCGTACCCCAATTGCGCAGATCGATGTTAATGCTGTTGATCACGAATCCGACTCGATTGTTTACTGACCGTCGCCATGTAGCTGGAATATTGCTGAACTGATAAACAATAAACAAACATAGTATCTATGCTCAATGTTTCCGCATGTTGGGGCAAACATGCTTGAATTGTTGTTTCTTTCAATAGAGAGTAGTACTAGTGGACAGTGTATGAACAGTCAACCATAGCCATAGCAAGCTGTAGACAACGTCTTTCAGTACCAATTCTCCTTCTGTCTATCATCTATTCCCAAACCCTCACTCGCTAAGGAAACAGGGTATAGTACGTCACTTGCATTATTTCAACTTCTTCAAAAGGAAGCAACCCATCGCGTGTCTATTTATAGACATCTCTTCTGACAGAAGGTGATTAAACTTTCAGATACTACACGATACCCTCCTTTCCGAGGGTTCCAACGATGAGTTATGTGGTGCATACGTTACCAGTTAGAGACATTTCACGTTATTCAGCGACTCAGTTCTTTCCTAAATGCTCTTGCAACGTGGCACCGGGGATATTAATGAAAAGCTTAAGGCGGATTTGGAGGTTCAACATCGCTCAACATTTAATTTTTGTCACATCAAATCGCAAACCTAATCTGACAGGAAAGCCCAAAATGACGCAGTCTATATACTGTCTTAAGACATAATATCTACTTTGTAACGTGGTTCGAATAGACGAATGATTTTTTGTACATGGTGAAGAAAACACGTTTTTATTTCAAATTTCGAAATTCCATACTGAAAATGTGCAATGTTTGTTCATTGACGTAATGATCTATTCACTTGTAAAAACTAGAGTGTTATTTCCACGTCAAAGTCTATTATAACTTGTGCTCCTACACTACAATATTGCAATAACCTTATGGGGGTTCCAACATTCCAAAGAGATGCCTCGTGTTTGGAGGATCAAAGTAGGTAATATTCTATAGCGGTTTGTGAACTTGAAGTTTTTGCAAAACGTCTCCTCAAGGAGATACATATTTCTGGGTTTTTGCAGTGGCGCATGTTGAAGGCATTTCACACGTGCAAGTGTACACCGATGGTGAGAGCCTACGCTTCATTCCATTGAAGTCAGCTACATCGTTATGACGCTGCCAATGTCTTCGTAGTTGCAAACATTCAAGACGCAATCGTGTTACCGAGTCTGCTCGCCACGCCAGAAATTCGGTTCGATTCCCAGCTTGTGTGAGGCTAATTCATAGCATACTACACTCACATATTCCTATAACACTGCTCGGTCACAGGCTTATCCTTTTGCATTATCACGTCAGTACCAGCTTCATCACAGCGATGTTCTTGCATCAGCGGTAGTGTACAGACAATGTTATATAAACACATGGCTTATGTATTTACCTAGACCTTTTCAAACATCCTTGTAGAAAATGAGCGTCTGCCTGAAGAGTGAAAGTCGGGGTTCGATCCTCGGGTTCGTCAGACCAAAAGAGGTCAAAAGATTAAACTTGCTATTCCGACCACTGAGGTGGTATTCAAGTAACAGGAGGTTCTAGATACATTACTAATGCGATGAATAAGAACATACGCCCTTTTACGTCTGTCCCAGAGTAACTTATTCACTTTACTGTGTATTATATGATAGCATTGTGACGAAACCGAACTCTGTTACGATATTGACAACCTAAGCACCATCTTCAGATACAGATACGTCAAGGCGCAACATGCATCTACTATTAGGACCATTCATGAGTGGGTCGCAAATACGTTCAAACCATTTATGTGTGCCTCAATAATGTGCCATTTGGATGACAAATAAGAAGTTGGACATTCCTTCTGCAGTAGGAATCAAAAACAATATTTCTTTCGACCAACATAAACTGGGAAGGTACTTTTGTTGAAACGAACGATGAATTAATTCGGCCCTGTTTTAGAGCGGGGATTCCAATCCCCAGATATGTTTTAATCCTTCCCTACAACTGGCCCTTCCTCCCACATTAAGCTCACGTTTTGACTACTCTGAAATACTGGGCCTACCTTTAGAATTCAACACCACAAACTTTACAAATACTGTTCAAAGTGGCGTTAAGCATAACGCTTTCCCTCAACCCGTGAAGGTCCGGGTTAGAATGAACCTTCAGTAACCTATGCTTGCGGAAAGAGGCGACTAACGGGATCGGGTGTTCAGGCTCGCTGGCTTGGTTGACAGATGTCACCGGTTCCAAATTGCGCCGATCGATGCTCATGCTGTTGACCACTGGATTGTCTGGTCCAGACACGATTATTTATAGACCGTCGCAATATAGCTGGGATATTGCTGAGTGTGGCGTAAAACTAAACTCACTCACTCACTCCCTCCTCACAACCTCACACCACCATAATGTCCAACGCGGTTATCTGCCCTCGGCCCGGGTTAATATCATCACAAATTCAAATTGTTGTAATTTTAAGGGCATTGTTATTCCTGTACGTCAGGGTACCAAGAGCTGTAGGGTTGAATACGGCAATACCTACACCTGACATACATCGGATATACCCTCCATCCATCGAGCGCAAGTCTAAGTATCATTGTTCTATATATACATCTGAAGCCAGCGTGGGAAATGTCTTGAGCACTACCAGCTTCACCACAGCGATGTTCTTGCATCAGAGGTAGTGTACAGACAATGTTATATAAACACATGACTTATGTTTATACCTAGACTTTTGTACGGAAGATGAATGCATCCAGGTTTATTCTTAGGTACAATGTAAAGCCGACAGTTTTCATGAAGCAAATCTGTTACAAAATGAAAGCCACTTTCATTTCTGTTTTGCTGGACGCACTTTGTCCATTGATAGAATTGCGGATTTTATTTGTTTTACAGAAGTAACTCCTTTTAATATGAACGAAATAACACCATGCTTATCGAATGACGTGCTGTCTAATTAATAAAATAAAGCCCATTGTATTCACTGGGGGGTGAATTGAGTGGTGGCAAGCCTTTAACACCAGTGGCTAATCCGTCTAAATACTGGAAAGGCCCACTCCAAATTTAAAAAGTTGATTTGGTAACCTAGTAGTCAAGGTATTTACCCTCCACGTCAAAGATAAACGACGTTCTTCTTTACAATACCAAAGGTTGACAATTTTCATTTAATTCAAATTTGACGACCTGACCAAACCAAATGAACGTGACAACGCTGTGATCAACATGTGTAAACCTTTAAAACTATCATGTTCATGCCAAAACAGCAGCATTCCTGTTACTGCCATTTCCTCAAAACGTAAAATCTTAAAATGAATCTGCTCATAATCCAAAACCATTACTTCAAACCCGCAATCACGTGAACTTCAAACAAAGTAAAACCGTAACATTAACTGGCAATTAATTACAGCCATGTTTCACAATAACCTTGAATATGACCTTGACCTTAACTGATGAAAATTTCTCCACAGGTGGCCATAAATACATTGACATTAGACAAGGCATGATTTCCCAAGGAACATGTAAATGGTCTTATAACTTTGGAGGAAGTTAAGGGGAACACGTCTGTCACGGAGGTCAATGCCACGTACATATGTGCTTTAAAGATGAATGCTACTTTCCAAACACCCACCTCACAGCTCTGTAGCACTCACGACATCGGATGTTTTCAGCTATCCAGTGAGAGGACGTCATCTGGTAACAAAATACATACATAATTAGTTTTCATCAAACTAATACTTCCGCTCTCACCCCTCGTCTCAGTTTACTCCGGTTCGCACAACTCAGTAAACTCAACCTTCTTAGTTCCCGTCGCAAAATATGACACTATCAATTTCAGACAGAATGAAAATTAATCCATTCATATGTTTCATGATAAAGTAGATTTCAGTGGATTTTCTTTCAAATGTTAGAAATGGCTTGTTATTTGGCTCTAGAATCTAGCACGCTGAACCAAACTGGAAGTTATTAAATATTAAATATACAGCATCAACTCCAGGCAATAACCAGTCTCGAATATCTGCCGCAACGGATTCCATTGGACTACACCGCAAAATATATAGTATTACTAGAACATTATATGAATATATCACATAAAATTCGTGATGACAGGTGTTCGCAAAGTATGTCCTGCTTTACCGGGAAAACCTGACTATCAAATGCATCAATAAAGTAAGTGTATTTGTCATGCCACGATTCAATTACGTTAATTAACTTCGGTGTGTCTACATACATAGATGATATGCATGGTGTGTCCCAGTAGACAACATCCTGGTGTGATTCATAATGCAATCCATGAAGCTGTGTCCAGATACTTATGACATGGAGACCGTAAAGGACACGTCTGTACCCTATCAGAGTATCCAATTCCAGGTATCGCCTACTTCAACAATATTTCATTTAGAGCACGGCGGGAAAGGGGTTGTTTATTCAGTAAAAATAAGCGTGTTGGAAGATAAAAATTCAAAGAGGGTGCCAAACTATATTTTAGTGTAATAGACATAATATCAGATAATTGGCAACAATGTTTACGTAAATGTTTTAAGTTTTGAAGAGAGGCTCTAGGCAGAGGATATATTACCCTCTTGAATCAGAAGAGGCATGTTATTGAAAAACATGAATTACTTGATCTATCGTTATAAGGCCTCAATGTAGGAATAACTAACACAATAACATGTAACTCATATCATGCTGATGAACTCAAAAGTTTAACATTGGCCAACATCAATCTGATCTGAACAGTAACTATAAAATACATACAGTTGCTTTAGAATATACTATCTAAATTTATATTATGTAAGTCTTTTAAGAAAATTAGTGACAAATTTGGATTCAACTGATTACTAATACTATCACAGCAATTGGAACATTTTCAAAATTACAAGCCTAATGCAATGTAAGCAGCAAGAAGGAATCGGATATTGTAAATCAGTGGGCTCTGAGATGAGACTGGTACGAAGACGTACTGACGTTTAAATGAACCTTTTAGACGGCCATTTTGATTTTCTTCTCAGTCGCTGTGGTTGTTGATGGGAGATCTGGAACCTGTCATTCTAACAATATGTTGATATGTTCCGTTAATTTGGATAAAAGGATCCTTTATGCTGCTACGCAAACGGACGGACGGAAGGCAGGGCGAACTGACAGACCAAGGAACAATGGACGAAAACCAATGACATAAGTGGACACTGGCGATGTGAAGAAGAGAAATGTATGACTGACTGACTGACTGACTGAGTTTGGTTTTACGCCGCTTTAAGCAATATTCCAGCAACATCACGGCGGGGGACACCGGAAATTGGCTTCACACATTGTACCCATGTGGGGATTCGAACCCGGGTCTCGGCGTGACGAGCGAACGCTTTAACCTCTAGGCTACCCCACCGCCCCTAGAAATGTATGAATGAGGCAGAGTAAAATACCTGTTTTAGTTTGAGTGTCTACATAAGAAATATATGCATTAAATGTCCGGGGAGGGGGGGGGGGGGGAGTATACACGTGACAATTCACTCTATTCTTGAGACCCTCGTCCTTGACAAGCCATGTGTACGTCACATGTTCCGAGATATTCATTGCTATCGTGCATGTAATTTCTTAATTATACGCGTATCAAATATATCAAAATCGAATAACCGTTTCTCGTATGTTTCATTTTGCCCACAATCAAGTACATATGTATTATTACTTTGCTCGACAAACTGAAACAAATAGAAACATTACCTCAGAATTTATCCGAATCTCAGGTACAAGAAGTTCCATCATGGACAATTTCAGTTTTTCCAACTGTTTCACACACGAGTCCTTAAAGCAACTACACTGCACCTCACACTGCCAACAAATACATCCTTCATGCGCTTGTCACTAGTTCTAGCGAGTTATACAACCAGGAAGTTGCGTTTACAGTGAAGAGATATCTAACGAGATTCGCCATTAGATGACACTAAATCTAGCCCTATATTTGATCAGATGAATGAAGTCAAGTGTCCGCTAGAGCGACAAACCAAGGCATCATATTTCAACTATAGAAGGCATCTGCAAACAACAGGATAGTACTGTAACAATATATGGCCCCTATGATTTTGATAACAGCATCAGACTTGCATCTGTGTAAAATTATTTTAGTATTTTCGTCTTCACTGCTTTCCGTTAAATCTCAATGGACCGTCCTAACAAATTTAAGTCATTGAGAACCCTTTTAGTCCCTGCTGATTAGTTCTCGCCAATGCTGGCTAAATACAATGTAATACAATATATTTACCATTATGAATGAATGAGTGGGATATAACGTCGGTAGGAACCATAATGGGGAGAAAATAGAATCTATGATCATGAACCGCGATACAGTAATCCTAGGTTTCTGGCATTGCTAAGGGACGCATACTGAATTGATGTCCCCAACCCATGGTTTAGAAGTCGAAGATATAAATATTTCAAAAGAAACCTCAAGATAATTCAAATTCCTTCGAGAAGAACGATTGTCAATTCGAAAAGCACTCCATGAAGAATGTATATGAACAACGAATACATTCAAATGACATATATTTGCCTTGTTTATGTATTTTGTAAGAAAGTCCTGGCTACTACGTCACGAGGGCGGCTGTGTGTATAACGATGCTAGAAGGTTTATCATAACAGTGCCCTGTTACGTCTGGTAGTGAGCTTTATCTAAACACGGACTCTCAAATGTGACCTGTGTACCATTACGGATGTCCTTGACTCGCAACCCCGCAGTGTAGGACAGTAGTGAAGTGGTTGGAGAGTCAGCTTGTCCACTTATCTGTTTCCATAAATACAAAAAAAAAAAGATTGTTGACTCTCGAACTAGCTGAAATACGATTTTTTACGTCAATACAGAAAATGTAAAAGAGGACTTCCCTAAATCATCACAAGAGACAAAACATTCTATGTGTTTCAGTTTTACATTATATTAACAACCCCGATTCAGTTCTGGCTTCCACATGCATTGTGTGCGTGACAGGTGTGACAGGTTAAATCATTCAACAATTAACTCGGATCACTATGGCACAAAATCCCATCCATTCGTGAACATACAACGACAGCTATGTTTTGATAGGACAGCCCGGTATTACCGGTATATCGGTATATCGCAATACGCCTTTAAGACGGTACATATTGCAATATATTTTCTTAGAACCGGTATATTGGGTAAGGAACATATGAAGTTTTTGTGATTATCTGTTTGGTTTAAATTAAAATCTACACACTTTCATTCACAACAAATGTTTTCCACCGTTATTCCATTACAAAATGCCACACTGTAATACAATAAACTGTATAAAAAACAAAATAGAATCCAGGACTATGCAACCTAAGTTTGAGATTGAAGTTATCAGAACCATAACATGTATGTGTAGGGACTTGAAATGTAGAAAATAGGTTCGACATGTACAAGTAGTGTCACTTACTGTCAAACACTTCAGTTCCCAATATATCGCAATACTGGTACCTGAATCGCAATATATTGTAGTACAATTTATTTGCCAATACACAGCCCTAGTTATTGTTGGCTTAGCGCACACACTCCGCACAGGTGACAGGCCGGGAAAGCCACATTTCCAAAATGACTATTGCTGGGAAGGCCACATTTCAATTACATGACTGTAGCCGGTAAAGTCACATTTCCAATAGATTAATTAATTAATGGATTACCGTAACCGGTAAAAGAGTGTCCTAATGTATAATATTGTTTTCACAAGAAACGAATAATCTTTCCTACTCACAAGCGTGGTGTTTAGCAGTACCGGTTAATGACTTCCTACTGTAAACGCCAAGAGCAACGTTACTCTCCTACCGTTATGAATTACTTAAAAATTATCAAAGATATGTTAGAAGGTACTAGTTTACAAGAGAGCCATACCGAACTAAACCAATAACAGTTATTTAGATGTCCAAAAGAAAGGTTGAAATACAACTGTTGTAGAGTGTGTAAAATTGTATAATAATCACATGTAACACGTGTCATTATCAGTGTATCTCAAGAGGTGTATACGCTGTTCATGCCATGCTTAAATATTATTGATAAAAAGGCTTTATACACCACTTACTTTACAATATTCGTAACCATGCACAATGTTACTCATATATAAGCTGTATACACCACTCACGTTACGATACACCTAACCATGCTCAGATGTCATTGATGAAAAGGCAATATACACCACTTACTTTACAATATATGCAACCATGCACAATGTTACTCATATATAAGCTGTATACACCACTCGCGTTACAATACACCTAACCATGTTCAGATGTTATTGATGAAAAAGCAATATATACCACTTACTTTACAATATATGCAACCATGCACAATGTTACTCATATATAAGCTGTATACACCACTCGCGTTACAATACACCTAACCATGCTCAGATGTTATTGATGAAAAAGCAATATACACCACTTACTTTACAATATATGCAACCATGCACAATGTTACTCATATATAAGCTGTATACACCATTCGCAAGTGCCATACATTAACATTAACTTACGACTATCTTAGCGCTAAGAGAGCTTCGAAAATCTAGCCCCTGGTATTGTGCTGATAAGATAACTACTTACATCACACTTAACGTTGCCATGCTGATATATTGCTGACAGAATAACTAATAACATCACACTTCACGTTGCCATGCCGATATATTGCCGATAGGATAACTACTGACATCGCAGTTCACGTTGCCATGCCGATATATTGCTGATAGGATAACTAATGACATCACACTTCACGTTGCCATGCCGATATATTGCTGATAGGATAACTAATGACATCACACTTCACGTTGCTATGCCGACATATTGCTGATAGAATAACTACTGACATCGCAGTTCACGTTGCCATGCCGATATATTAGTGATAGGATAACTACTGACATCACACTTCACGTTGCCATGCCGATATATTGCTGATAGGATAACTACTGACATCACACTTCACGTTGCCATGCCGATATATTGCTGATAGGATAACTACTGACATGACGCTTCACGTTGTCATGCCGATATATTGCTGACAGGATAACTACTGACATCACACTTCAAGTTGCCATGCCGATATATTCCCGGTAGGATAACTAATGACATCACTGTCTACAAAGCCATGCAGATATATTGCCGATAGGATAACTACTGACATCACACTTCACGTTAACTACTGACATCATGCCATGCCGATAGGATAACTACTGACATCACACTTCTGACATCACACTTCAAGTTGCCATGCCGATATATTCCCGGTAGGATAACTAATGACATCACTGTCTACAAAGCCATGCAGATATATTGCCGATAGGATAACTACTGACATCACACTTCACGTTGTCATGCCGATAGGATAACTACTGACATCACACTTCACGTTGCCATGCCGATATATCCTCGATAGGATAACTAATGACATCACTGTCTACAAAGCCATGCCGATATATCGATGACAAGGAAATCCTGTATGAGCGATTTAGTGCAATGACAAGGAAATCCTGTATGAGCGATTTAGTGCACAACAGCCATGCTTACAAACCTAGATTCTTACCGTTTCAAACTCGGTCTCCATTGCAAATGTTTCGATCCTATTCCAAACTTGCACCAGTCTCCAGAGTACTCCCCGGGTCTGTTGTCACAAGAAGCAATGTCGGAATTTAACATAACACTTCAGCATGTGACAATCGCATGCGTTAGAATTGACCTGATCTGTTGAACTTCGAAACCTTGCACTCATTGGTTATGCCCGCACGAGAAACCGAATAATGAAAGAATATCATTGCTGCGTTGATCCCCTTGAGACAATCGCCTACACGGAATTATCAACCGGATTGGGTTTGATAATAACCTGGGCCCTACCAAGGTCTTCACCATGACGTACATTTTCTCTAAACAGTAAAACTGTTCGCCCCTCTTACACACTAGTGGCAGAGGTATGGCTGCGGTAGTATTGCGTGTACAATGAGAACATAATCATTGTCACATCAGATCTTCTGTTTGTTATTGAGCTTGAACAAAATGAAACATTATACCGTCCGTGATAGGTTTGTCCGTAGTCTGAGTGCTATGACGTCTTTCAGTGTGTACAGATCAATGTCACCATTCACATACATCTTTTTATTACATATATCTTAGCTATTCTGGGTGTAACGCATTCGAGTGTAAAGGGATATTTTTTGCCAGACTCGGACACTCATATCAAATGTTAGAGCCATGAGTAAAATTGGAGTATTCTAGATCTGTTAGAGCGTTCTAGGGACGTTACTATTAATATCGACTGATCAACCGACCTACATAATAAAGTGTAAGAACAAGTACGATTAAAATGTTGTTTGATTTGAAAAAACTTTAACTTCAGCTTTATTATTATCCATGAGGCCGATCTACAACATGTGGGCACACGGGACAGGTGAATATAAGGTGTCAGTTTTTAAATTTTAAACTTGCATTTCCCATGTCTTAGGTTAATGTAAAGACAATCATGTCAAATATTTCTTGTAATGAATTATTTCATAGTTCTCTTCAAGTCTGTACTGAATGATAAGCCCATGGATATACACTTTAGTATTATACAATATAGCAGGCAAGTTTAAACAGGCCTGTCGTTATTGTATACAACTTGTTTTCATCATTCGTATGATCTAGGGAATATGATTTAGACTAAAACTCATTGCCTTACTAGAGGCCTGTGACAGTACAAATTCCCTAACTTTATATCAGTATACCGGACATGTAGTTCTACTTCCTTAAGATGATTTTGTTGCATCTTGTCAATTAACACAATTATCTCATCGTGTGACCTGAAAAAACAACAACTTATAATAATATTTATAATAATTATGAACTAACAGTCAGACAAACATAACTGGCAATTAGAAATATGAAACAGGAAACAGTGGCCTACAAGCACAAGTTAATAAACAAGACTCACATTACAGAACCGAGATCGAAATTCTTTACTACAGTACGGTTTAAATTAGTCTGTCTCACAGTCCCTGAACCACATTATTTTCCTAGTCTGTCTCACAGTCCCTGAACCACATTATTTTCCTAGTCTGTCTCACAGTCCCTGAACCACATTATTTTCCTAGTCTGTCTCACAGTCCCTGAACCACATTATTTCCCTTACTGCCTAGCCCTCTCTGCAGTGCTAAAGCCCTAAATAAAGCAAGTCTAGATTTCCTCAGGTTCTGAATCTCTGGTCTCCCTAGGGCTCCTTTTCAATGTACATTGTAAATGGGCTTGTTTGTTACTATCAAAATTATATATATTCAGAGACTAAGCCTTAGTCTAGGTTTAAATCATCATTGCACGGTTGAAATATGTGACTCGTTCCTTTGGGGCACAAATGAGACGATATGTCCTTTTCAAAAATACCTTGTGACGATGTTTATGACTTGGAATCACTAATAAATGTACTTGAACACCTGGTCAATGATAAGCATATGAACTCATTAAATATACAATGTGATTCATGGAACAAAATTAAAAAAGGTATGATCAAACGCTATGAAAATCTAAACTTTCCAAATTTCAATGACTTACTACCCATCTCAAAATCGACCAATGTACATGGATTCTTCTTGTTGGTGCAATTAAGTTATATTACATTCTCAAGTGCACACCTAAACAACGGTGACACACCTGAGAAATGTACTTTTACTTTGACAAGCAACGAATCCGTCTTGGCTTTACCACCTACAAACTGTATACAGGTAATCAGAGACAGTGACGTGCTTCCACTTTGTTACGCTAATCTTTCACCAAAGACCGCCTCGATCAGGTGTCCTATTCCAGGAAGATTGAAGGGGGCATGAAAACAGCTTTAGACAAGACGGCTTCGTAAGTAGGCCGTTATTGGGCTTCACCTCAAAGGTTTCACTGTGCTGTGTAGGTGTCATAGTTATCTCGTCACAAAGTTGTTTTGTTCGAGTCATTCTTGATGTATCACAAGCATAGAGATCTGAACACACCCGTCCCGATAGCCTGCGTGGTTCGCTTTCGACAAGTATGGATAAATACTAACATGGCGTTATATTTGGTTTGTAGATTCCAAGGCACGAACAGTGTGAAATTAGATGTTGTCAGGCTACAACTACGACAGTCAGCCTATGTAGAAAACAACCTTACAGTTTGAAACCAGTTACCATCAATTCGTACTGTACCTGTTTCAGAACAGATTCATCAAGGTTATACATTAATACAACTCTTATATTAGCCCCAGATAAGTTAAAATTGACATAAAGTATGAATTAACAATGTCGTTCTCATGCTGAAAAGCACGTAGTTTTCGACTGGTCCCCCCAACCAGATGACATGAAAAGTAAAGTAATGTATCTTATTAACTAAAACGTTGCATCAAGTGATATATATTATAACGAGTAGTATTCTATACTCGTCAAAAAGATCCGTGAAAATCTTCAGTAACCCATGCTCGCCGTAAGAGGCGACCGACAGGATCGGGTGTTCAGGCTTGGTTGACACATGTCATCGTATCCTAATTGCGTAGATCGATGTTCATGCTGTTGATCACTGGTGTGTCTGGTCCAGTCCCGATTATTTACAGACCGCCGCCATATAGCCGGAATATTGCCGAGTGCAGCGTAAAACTAAACTCACTGGCTCACGCACTCACTGACTCACTCACTCACTCGTCCGATAGTCATTCGGTGATTGATATACGTTCAAAATATTCATAAAAAGGTGTAAAGCATTGCCTAAATCATGCATCATGTGCTCAAGTCAAATCACATTTCTAATTGTCCAGAGGAAAAATGACACCTACCAACTTCTTATTTGGTTGAGCAGGGCTTACCCGCTGCGCGATTAATCAAACCGCGCCAATGGGAGATATGTAGAAAGCCCTTATTCACATTTCTTCGAGTGTTTAGAACTAGGGAGTGTCTGTCAAATAAGCTATTGTCGGCTATACCGTACGCCTGAGACATACATTGTGTTAAAGCTATGTAGCTACCGTTAATGTGAACTTTTGACTCCCATGTGTTCTGGTGTGGAATGGAATAACCGTAAACTACACTGAAATGGCAATTGTAAGGACACCAGTGTATATAGGACACGTGGTCTGAGTACATACTTGAATGTTAATACCAACAAATGCATTGTATTTACGTATCTCGTATATCAGTTTGTTGACACTACATGGCGGTTAAGAGAATTTCTCTTCCTTTTAATCATGATTATATCTTTCTATCAGTCATAATCACGCATAGTTTGAAAATAAGTCTGACTATCAACCTATGGACTCTCTGTTAGGTTCGAGTTAGGAAGTAGGAGGTAAGAGGTTCATCTCGTCACTATATGGCTGGAATAATGCCGATGTGACGTAAAGCGCAACTCAACTCAACTTCAAAGCGTCCTTAAAGCGGTATTCGATATACAAATATGATTAAATAGCACCAGGTACCTCAATAAATACACTTTCAGGCCACATAAACAAATCACAGGTTTGAAGGAGGGTCTGCCACCGAACATTCACTAACTCACCGTCTGAAGAGACCCGGCAACTGTGTGGTGCACGTTAAACTGAGGTATGATGGCAAGGGGATCTGGAGCTTAGTGTTAATTAATCAGTGTCTCAGAAATTAGCTGACGCATAAACGATTGGTATAAGTGTGACTTTCCTGTTCCGCTCAGTTGATGAACGAGGGATACATCTGGTCAATGTCTAGTAGCCTTGAGCGAAATAACCGCTGGGCAGCTCGTGACCTGTTGCACAACCTATATGTTAATGATGCTAATTAAAACATAAAATCATAGAAATAGGCTGACGGCTTCTTCGGAAGGAGTTGTATCGAACGTGGCAAAATTGAATCGTTCAGAATTGATCTTTAGCATCAGCCTTGAAACTATTTCTCATGTTCTTTGTATATTTTATTCCTATTTATTAGTTTAGTAGGGCGAGGAGAGCTACTAAACACTTATTATATACCTAGACCAAATAATGGTGTTAAGGGACTTAACGAACACTTGCAACCTAACAATGTAGCCCCGAAAATGCAAAAACTCTTTATGCTTTTGCCATTCGGTTTATGATGAAATAACATTGACGAAAAGATGACACCAGAGTGGTTAAGTCGTTTATATCAAAACATTTTGCAGAGCTGTCAAAATGTTACCCCAAACAGCCCACAAATGACGTAAATTTGTGTTCGTTCTCATGCTGAATAACAAAACAGCTGCAGCGGTTCCTTCCTAAGCTCGGAAAATAGTTTTAATGAAGTGTATGGTTTTAGAAGGTAATGAAGCACGAAACTGAGTTAAATACAGTAGCTCCGCAGTCACTTCCGTAATGCTCCGGTGTTAGAAATGTGTATCCCCTCATTTTTCTAGGCCTTCAGCTAAAGGCTCAATACAGTAAAACACATCCGCGGCTAATGTAAATATTCATATTCAAAGTCGGACTTCATTGGATGGAAGGTGCCGTTTAACATCTCTGATTTTAAATATTTTTGACTAAAAACGTGAACGGTTGATATAGATTTATAGATTACTATTAAAAAGAACCAGGTGCAATAATATAAAAGGTTTTTTTTTTTTTTAAAACAACATAGAATGGCTCTTGTTTAAGGCAATCTGGTAACACCGTATATAAGCATGCGCTCCTTTTAGCCCAGGTAAGCCTGCTCTCGGATTACAGTAAAAGAAACACGAGTATAACCAGTGTGCGAAATAGTTTCCAAATTTTGCTATCCAGTAGGACTAGCTATTCCTGAAAGTTACTAGTCCACAAAATAATTCACTAGCCCGAAATTTGAATGTAGAAACTAAGCAAAAGATTACCAAAATAGATGAGAATAAGATATTGTTGGCATGGCACGGGTAACGGGTCTCATCATTAAGCTGCCAATATGATGAACATTTTATATCGGGCCATTATATTGTATGATTTAAAAGTGTATTATAAGTAGGAGAGAGTGACATATTTACAAAATGACCCCATGAAAATTCACTAGCCAGTTGGGCAAATGACTGTGGAGATTTTCTGGCCCGACTGGATTTTTACATGCCATGGGCTAGCGGGCCAGTTGCTATTTCGCACATTGCATGTAACTGAAGCATATAGATGTAAAGGTTATAAATCATAGGTAAAGCGAGTTCTGTCAGACAAAACCGGTACGTATGGCCTATGTACATCACGTTACATATTTCATTAATGAATTAATGAATAAGGTATGCAAAACATATTCAAGATATTTATTCATTGTCTGATGGAGATTTGTGAAAGTATATTGAGTATATTGATGTGAATATATTCTATATATATTACACTGTGGAAATAAAGATGGTAAAAAAAAATTCTTTAATGAAATTCTAGCGTGTTCTCATATCGTACACATGCTCATTCATTGGACGTATTTCAAACACAGACCACAGATTGATTATTATTTCCCTGTTAAAATACTACTAGTAACAATACTAGTAGTAGTTCAGGGGCGGTGGGGTAGCCTAGTGGTTAAAGCGTTGGCTCGTCACGCCGAAAACCCGGGTTCGAATCCCCACATGGGTACAATGTGTGAAGCCCATTTCTGGTGTTCCCCGCCGTGATGTTGCTGGAATATTGCTAAAAGCGGTGTAAAACCAAACTCTGTCAGTCAGTCAGTAGTAGTTCAGTCAATGTCCACTAGTGATATAGTCAAGGTGTTTATACCTTAGACTGCTCCCTGTGAACAGAATGTATCAAACATAGTTGACGTCTCCACTCCACGTGCCCAGCAGAAGCCTAGTGCATAACCACTTGGAACAGGGTCGGATATGATTTCATAACGGAATGTTCGTTACACACAGTGTAAATATTTACTTACATTCCAGTTTTCTGCCATGCTCGAGAAATGGCTAGCCGACAGATTTCTTACGATGTAGCCATTCATTCAATTAAAATAGACTTAAGTCACATGATTTCGTGCTGGTGGATTGTATCGAGACAATAGCGGGTTGGGTTAAAGCGTGTTCTTCAAAGCCAGATATACTTCCCGTTGAACTCGAACCCCACCCTCGATTCAAGGTAGGGGGATGATAGTGGGAATGTTTGGGTATTTCTAGCGATGGTAAGTTATGTACTGTTAGATCGACGTCAGCTGGTTCAGCACTACCGCAGATCTGACTTCGAGACATGTAGGTAACCGATATATAGGTCACAAGCGCATGTGGTTACGGGCGAAGACATATTCTCGAGGAAAATACATCTGCTGTTTCATAAGACAAGTAAAGCATGTGTCATTCATTCACGAGATCCTGTTTCGTTTTGGGGGGTTTCAGCAAAAAACAAGCACTGCTATGAAACCTGAGCTTTACCTGTATCTGTTGAAAATATAGCATCATTAGATAGTATAACAGGTGTCAACTACTTACTCAGTCCGTGTGTCTGTTTATGTGTGTATATGTTTGTGTCTCTGTGAGTCGATCTGTTTGTATTTGTTTTGGAAGAGAGTCCAGCGTTCAAAGTATTTATCGAGCCTTACCTTGTTCAGTATAAGTCCTGTCTGCAGTTAGTATGGAGATATCCGAGTATCCTTTACGAGTGGGTATCCATTGTTGGTCATTCAACACGTTATCCAGGATGTCCAAACACTCTGATGGACGAAAATGGCTGCCTAATACATATATGAATCCTATGAACAAGAAAAATGCGTCTTGAACTTCATAGCCCACGATGTCAGATCTACCCTTTAAACAAACACCGAGCCAGCCACGGAGAGACGGGTTTCGCCCTGATCTACCCGACGACCATCTGTGTACTTAAAGCTATCCTGAATCTAAGGAGTTAGAGATGTTTTATAATCAATCCTCCCACGCCCTGTTATGATTTTGACGTTTCCACACACTTGGATGAAGGCCGGTTGGATGTCATTCACAAGCACACGGAAGTTGTCATGGTATTAAAGTGATAAAGATCTGTTCTCAAACACGGTATATATCCCAGCCACGGAGATACGTTATCGGAACGACTGTTTACACCAACTTAATGTCCCTCCTTGTCGGTGTTATGGGTGTATCCGCGCGTTATAACCGGTGTCAGAAAACTTCTGAACTGTCGTCTGCTCGCACCACAAACTGCTCTAACGACTCCCAAAACCCGGGATTTGGTGTTCATATGTTTGTCGAACTCAATACCCTTTCACGCGATCTATTGTGGGGACTTACAGTTCGACCATCAGGAATGTGTCGCGGTTCATGTATGCCCCCCAAACCCACAGGAACGCCAAACTGAGACGGCGGGGCGGTAATGTCGGATTGTGTGAGGGAGCGAATACCACACGACCCGATTCAGGGGGATAACTGCAGACGGCTCGGCAGATTCACCCGCTGTGTTTTCTCAGTATCGGATGAGGGAACGCTGAAATTTGCCGGTTTGTTTCGCCTTTGGCAGGTGTATCTCCCGTTACATATACATCATAAACAACCGGCTTGGTCGTTAGATAATTAACAGCTGATACCACGTGACTCACGCACGCGAGTATATGAGGGTAGGAGATGATTATATGTAATTTATAATCTCTAATTTAATGTGTGTATATAACATGTTACATAATTAACGATCAACACTTTAAGCGTCATGTACGTGAATCACATACAGAGGTATCATATTTGATTTCTTGCTGTACAAATACATGATAGTTGTGGCAATAAGGATTAGTTGATAAAGATGGCACTAAGAGCAAGCTTAGAACAAAGTAAAACCTCTACTCAATGTGGCACACATAATAACAACGCAAGGAGTTATAATATTATGACATCATCACGTAAGAAACGAAATGATATAAAAATGCAAATGTATGTACCATTGAGTTGAATTCTGATCCTCAGAACAGAATTCATCCAAACTTGAGCTTTGGTGCATGTCAAAATGAAGTTAGGCGGCTTTCCACATAAGAGATGACCAAACTGTTCTGAGTAAGTACCGGCATGATCACTAATGAACAGTCGTGTCAGTTCCTGGTTTCTTATAGAGCGAATGCGAGTATGGTTTTCAGGGGCGTAGCTACCATTATAGAAAAAAGCCCGGCTTACACATGATGTTTGCTAAAAAAATATTTTCTAATTCTTGCCAAAAATACCTACAAATACGTTATCAGAATAATTTTATAGTGGAAATGCCTCTATGAATCATTTTGACTACAATATTCTTTGATAACAAAGCATTACCAATACAGTCAACATGCATGTACAGAAAACATGTTATTCATCGTATCATAAGTATGAAAGGTGTCTTTCTTTCAGTGATGATTGTTTTACCATCGCCATGTATGTGATTGTTTTGTTGAAGTCTTGATTATATGTGAATCATAACTGAAATGCAGGTATTTACAATCGAAAAAATTGGCTTGCTACACGCCTGGTTTTTAACTAATATTCCAGCACAGTCATGGCGGATGTCACCATAAATGAGTGAGTGAGTTAACTTTTACGACGCTTTAAGCAATATTCCAGCAATATCACACCAGAAATGGGCTTCACACATTGTAACCATGTGGGGAATCGAACTTGGGCCTTCGGGGTGACGAGCGAACGCTTTAACCACTAGGCTACCCCACCGCCCTCATCATAAATGAGCTTCACATAGTATTTCCTATTGTGGGGAATCGAACCTGGGCCTTCGTCGTGACGAGCGGACGATTTAACGACTATGCTGTATCCCAGCATCCCCCTCTGTGTGTTGTGCTTAAACTTTGAAACGTGTTGTGATTCCAATACCACAACGCAAATCACAAACAGACACAAACATGTGTTTGCGTACGCTTCGAGAAACAGGTCATGATCGATTGGAGATTTACAATCAATTACCCGCAAAATAACTGCTGACTTCCTTTACACGTGACTGACGTTAAACACTAACACATGACTGTCAACTGTTAGTGTTTAGACTACATGTCCGGCCTAGCGCCATTCACGTTAAATATCAAAACCATCTCATGAACCTGTCATACATGTGCATGAATTCTTCACGGTTTCAAGTGTTTCCTTATAGAAACACATTTGGCATTCGCTGTGGTTAGACGTTAAAATCAACGTACCAGTTATAGGGATATTCCTGAAACGATTAAATTGCAAATTAAAAGGTATAATATCAGTTTTAGACAACTGACTCACGGCCGCCCATTGACCATGGCTTAAATGATGAAATGTATAACCGATTGTTGGAGCCCGTGTTTATGTTATCTTGTTTTCCATATACATGTATAAATGTGGAGAAATTCGAAAACTGTAGATACCTCTTTAAATAACTTCTTTTTCTCCAAGGGGATTCAAGTGCATTCATGCACGGAACCATTGTGACGATGTCTAAATTGTGGCTGATATTTAAGTGTGACGTACAGCGACTGCATTTGTCAGTATAATTTATAGCTCTGCAGACCTACTGTAAGCATGCCAGAATCCCATCATCATCATCGTCGTCATCATCATCATCATCATCGTCATCATCATCATCATACCTGTGGGTGCGACTGTCACTGTCACTGGGGTAACTAACGCCTCCCACACCGAGCAAACACCCAGTGTGAAAACTGAAAAATGTAAAAAAAACTACATGTAGTTAGTTCCAAATTAAACTCACTTATATGTGTTGAAAACGGGCCCTTGACATATTGTCAGATAAGTGAGGTGGTCCCATGTTGCATGCTGCATGTTGACTAACCAACGTCACATTGAACTCCGTTATGCATGCAGGGAGGGGGGGGAAGCCTAGTGGTCTAAGACTTCGCTCCTCACGCCTAAGACCCGGGTTCGATTCCCCACATTGGCACAATGTGTGAAGCCAATTTCTGGTGTCGCGCGCCGTGATATTGCCGGAATATTGCTAAAAGTGTCCTAAAACCATATTTACTCACTCACTCGTCATGCGTTGTACAAAGCGATCTTAGCGCTAAGGTGATTGTAACTCAAACAAACGTACGACTGTTACTTGTACAGCTGCATCCCGATATTAAACTGTTATTCAATATTTGTGTTCCAAGGGGAAACGATGAGGCTTAAAACTACCACCTCACCTTAATGTAACACCGTATGTCATATGGCACAGACTTAAATACCTAAAAACCATCAAGGCAAACGTGTCAGTTATGAAAAAAATGAAACTAAAACACTGTTCAAGTGTGGATGAACGTCCAGAAACAGGTGTGCAAACAAATCCTGTTTCTGCCGTTGGTCTAAAACAGGAAATACCGCGGGGACCTTCACTGGTTCGCTAGGAGAAAATAACTACACGTATCCCTCTCTGAGACCGACAGGGATAACAGCTTATAGTGGAGGAATGGCTGGTTGTGTTTTTCGAATAACTTCAGAAGCATACAGCCTATATGACTGACGGGCTTTGTACAAATAACGTGAGCGATATAGAAGCGTACCCTGTCCCATACCTCTATATGACAAAAGGTACACTGTATATCCGGGATGTCTAACAAACCATCAATACACAAGTCATGCCAATTACATTTCTTTAGCATATACAGGAGCGTAAGCCAGCGAGCAGGGTCTACTCCCATTTGTGAGAACTCCCAGTTGTGAGACTCCCAGTTATGAGACAGTGGAGTAGGTAATTAACAACGAAAACACACCATAATCCCCTGTCTGATAGAATGGATTCACCCTAGCTCATTACTGATTTGCTATGTAACTGAATCTTGTGGAGGTAACTTAATGAAATTTTATAAGATAAATTGATTAACATACTCAGGTAAATGTCTTTAATAATTAAACACTTTGTGTAGGTAACTTCGTGATCAAAGAGAAATTAATTTACCTACTCAGATTTACTCCGTCTCCGAAACTACAAGCTATAGTTTAAGAAATAACTCTGAAATTTATAGTCGAAATGCCCCTTATGCCAAACCCTTTCTACCCGACACAATAAATTTATGGAATGCCCTACCAAATTCCAAAGAGTCATGCAGTCTCAAAGAATTTTAAAACCTAATTACAAAAAACCGAAAACAAGATTTATATTGATCTTAACTATGGCTCGTTTTTGTCAAAACGTTCATTGCTGCCTCAGGCTCGGATCTAGCGACCCAAACGCCGATAAGTATAACAGACATTTAATAGACAGTGCATGTTGCTCTTGTGGATATCAACTACCCGTTATAACCTGGATAAATGTTTTAACGGAAACAAAGAATTTACTCCTTGTGTAAACCAGAAAATAGTTGAATCCGTCCTCGATTATATCATCAAGACACAACCTTCAAATTTTCACAGGGAAATACTGAAATTAATTCAACCTTCTCGTGATTGATTAATATTCCTACAATAGATTGTTAGACACACACAACTGTAAGTCTCTAATTGTGACTACTTAGAAAATAGTTGTATTTGATGTCATCTGTATATATTTATATGTACTTAAAATTATATTTATGCAATAGTCAATATCGATGACATCACATCCTCCATTTCATTTTATATTTCATGTTGCATGGGAGCGGTGTTAACATAAGCAGTAATACTTCACCAATCCCAATTCATTTTCATAAATAATAATAAGATATGTTTAAACCAAAATGACTTTCAAACTTCATAATAGTCAGTAAAAATGTGTTATCATAATTACATATTCTGAATAAATAAAATATTCAATGAACTATGCCTCCTGTGGGTACTGGGCTGGGCTGATCCCACTTTCATTGTAGGGATGTGGAAACACCACCTATGTGCACTGAACCATTAATTAATGTCTCACACCTGGGAGTTCTCACAAATGGGAGGACACCGCGAGCAGAGCACACACCCGACAAAAGCACCTGTTTGGGGAAAATGAATGACTGAGCAATAAACAAGAAAGCATTTCTTTTCAGATCCGGGTAACATGTATATAGGGCTCGTCAACAACCTACTTCAACACACATATTACCGTGGGACTCGATCCAAACAAACAAACCCGGGTCGTTAGGTCAGAATTAGTACTTCGCCACTATAGCATGTGTCAAGTATATGCAGCACTACCCAGACCCTGCAATCGTATTTCATTCGTTAGTCAGTATACAAGTATACGTGGGAGTGTTAGCTCTGAGATCGCTTTGTGGAACAGCAAATGCCTGGAATATGGGTGTTTCCTGTTCTGCAAGCTGACATTGATAGCACCGAGACCAAACAATCACGTTCCATTGACAGCTTTGTGAACAGTCCCTATACCAGGGGAGGTGGATTGTGTCAAAGAAACATCAATACAGGCACACTGGAGCTACCAACAAGGAACCATTCAGTGTCACTCGCAGGTGTCAATGAGTGTTACTGTACA